CATATGCAACACTCTACTTTGTTAGTCATTAGATTAGACCTCTAATTTGCATTTGGTACATAATTATTTATGAGGGATAGCATATAAGTTTATCATGATGGTGTCATTTTGATTGGTGATAAGAAATTGTTGATTTGTTTAGAAAACAATCCATGCTAAATGCAGGACATGCAGCATGGCTTTATTGGGTTTAATCTACTTACTTTTGGTTATATTCCTGGAGAAAATACTAGTGAAGACATAAGTGCCACTCAAAGGGCTCGAGACTTCAATATTGAGTGGTAAGTAATGATCTGGTAATGATATCTCTCTTTCATGTTTATTAGCTTTCTGGGATTGCAAAGGACCAACTCTGCAAAGAATTTGTACGGCTAAATGAAGATATTGATTTTTATATCATGGTTAAGTTCAATATTTGGTTCCTATATATATATATATATACCTTAGGTAGAAGGGACTGAAAAAAGTAGTTAGGAATGGAAAGAATAGTTAGTTAGTTAGTCAGGGGACAGTAGGTCTGAGTAAGATAAATTAAGAAGATTAGAAAAGTATTAAGAAAGGGAAACTCTGTGTGAAGGGGAAACCCTTGGAGGATAATTCTTTCGCCTATTATTACCTGTTCAATAACAATGTTCGTCTTATTTGTTTGCTTCCATCAATTTCTCATTTCTCTTTAATGGTTTGTAACAATGCTATGCCCTTTTTTGCGTTAGTTCTTATAGGAAAGAAACTCCACATTTTAGTCCCTACACCAAAAAAATTACAAAACAAACCCGATTGTTTGCTAACGATATGATGGTATTAGATTTTATTGAGTTGTTCACCGTCTCTGCTGAGATCAATATTTCATGAAGCCATGTAGGGAAAAACGTTAGCCAACTCATCATAATCCAACACCATTATAACTTTGGGAAATGGTAGGGACAGATTGGTAAACATTTTTTCATGTAGGGCCCCAAATATAGTTTTTTAATGTGGGGACTAAAGCAAAAAATAGTGTCAAATACAGGGACAAATTTTTTAATTTAACCTTGTATCTTTAAATTGTCCTTAAGAGTCCTCAAAACTTGAAGCGTGGACAATAAACAGTCTAATTTACCATGAAAGTAAGTTAAATTGTGAAAAATGTGTTGACCGGGATCAAACTCTTGACTACTTGATGTTTTAATTAATATCATCGTGATGAATGCTCGATAATGACTTTATAACTCTAATTCTACTGAATTAAAGGATATTGTCAGAAGAATCCAACACTATTTATTCAATCAAATAAATGGTCTAGCTTCCAATTATAAATTAATAGCTACTCTTGGTTTTCCTATGATTTGTCTTTGCAGGTTTCTAAATCCCTTTACTTTTGGAGATTACCCTGATATAATGAAAAAGAGAGCTGGCTCAAGGCTTCCTTCCTTCACCAAAAAGGAGTCAAATCTTGTCAAGGGCTCTATGGACTTCTTAGGGATAAACTTTTACTTCACATTTTATGTTAAGAACAGTCTTGGCAGCCAGCAGATAGAGGATAAAAATTACATGGTAGATTTGGGGGTGGAATTTGAAAGTATGTTACAAGATATTTCCTACGGTTTTGTTTGCTAACCTACTTTATATTGAGCTCAAACAAGTTATTTGCATATAAATGTCTCTTTATTTTGTGACATCTCATCCTTGACTTTATGATTCTGAGATACTTGTTGTTCATAGATGGACCATTTTATTTTCCGCAGCAGTGACTTTAATGAGACATTGTTTAACATTTGTGGTTTTCGTTTCTTTTAATTTTTTCTGTAAATTTTCTAACACTTGCTAATTTTTTTTATAGACCTTCTCTGGTTTTATTGGCACACCCTATTGGAATTTCTTCTGTATGCAATCTTGTTTCTTGTCTCAGAAAACATAAATGCAAATATATAAGTTCTAGTTGTTCTTGATATCCAGCCTCTTCACGTTGTTTTTTACCTTCATCAATTCGCATCCTCTTCTAGTCCATGTCACTAAATCAAAATGTCACCAAATACTGTCTAAATTTTATAATCCTATACTGTTATTGCTGCAGACTTAGTTATTAAACTTCAGTAGGAGAAATCAGTCAATGGAGTCATCCAACTTACTCTGATTTTGAGGAGCTGAGAAACCTAATTAATGTTTAGTCTGATTGTAGGATTCACCAAAAATGAAACATCTAAATATGAGGTAAGAACATGGTGCTATTCCTCTTTCTTTTCTTTTTTATTTTTGTCATTTTCTTTGGGTTGGAGCTTCAGTGCTTTACTTGTTTAGATCCCAATTACAACCTGGAGTTTGCAAGGGGTGCTAGACGCATTGAAAAAATACGGAAATTTTCCAATTTACATACATGAAAATGGTATGGCTCTCAGTCTCTTATCTCCTTCAAAACAGCATATACACACCTATCTTGTATGGCCCTTAAATCATCATTTCAAAACCAACAATCTTAACCCTCTATTATATATAGTTGTATATTAAATCTTCGAGCATAATTTATAGGCCAACAAACACCTCAAAATTCGTCATTAGATGACTGGTCAAGGGTGAAGTACATGCATGCATATATTGGGAGCATGCTTGATGCATTGAGGTACTATGATATCTTAACATCTCTCCACTTTGTCAATTTTTTCTTGATGTTAATTTTTTCTTTTTCATTTTTTTATTCCCTTCTTTTTCTATATGCATGACCCATGGAAAGGAGTGGATCAAATGTAAAAGGGTACTTCATATGGTCCTTTTTGGATGCATTCGAGATAATGAGTGGATATGAAGCAAGTTTTGGCCTATATTACGTAGACATGGGCAACCTAAGCTTTCTGCTGAATGGTACTCAAATTTTCTGAACAAGAAGCCAATGGACCCTAAGATCATCAAGGAAATTGGGAAGAATGCACCTTTGCTTTCACAATCTCCCATACTGCATCATGCTACTTAAAGTAATATGAATAAGTTAAAATTTCCGATCTTGAACTTCTGGGGTGATAATTTTTTCTACTTTGTCTTAGCATGTAATAGACAAAAAATAATAAAAATACTAGGTTTATGGTGTTTGTTGGATTATGGGACTGTCATCAATATCGCAACTACATATTTGAAAAAGCATATAGATCATATTGTATGAAAGAAGCTTCTATTATCCAATCTTATGAGCCCTTCTATATATGTACATGTATGTGTGTGTGTGCATATATATATATAGTGTGTGTGTCTACAATTTACTCATTCCGTTATAAGATACTCACAAATTAAATAAACAATTGAGAAAGATAAAATTCTGAATGTTGGAATTTACGCATAAAACTGTCTCAGGAGAGTGCTTTCAACTTTCAACTGCGCTTGCTTTGCACAAGCTCCATATTCCGTCTCTATCATAAAGTGCTTTCTCTCAATATGATCAACATTTTTTGTGTGTCCTATCCACACAGGGTATGAACTGGTGGCTCTCTAAACTAAATAAATGTGTCTTGTTCAATGGTTGAGCTTTGGTTTGGCTCCACAAGGGTTGTGAAATATCTTAAGTAAAAAAAAAATTGGAACCCAAAATGTTGCAATAATTGAATACCTTTATTTCTATTGGTCAAATCATCAACGAGTGAGAAGGAAATATCAGAAACCAAATCATGTCAACATCTTCACATGACTTGACAACTTAGTCATAGCCAGAAGAAATGTTAATAATAGGTGTCAAAATTTACATACATATGTCAATTTTATTTGTTATTTATTTTTATATGCATATTTAAAAGAAAAAAAAAATCAGGTTAGAAGTAAGAGGAGAAGATTTAAAATAATAAAAAAATATTATTATTTTTTTACATATTAAATACATGAATATAATTTATGGTTTATAATAATAATATAATTATCTTTAACTTACTTTAAAGAATAATTATTTTACAAATATTAAATAATTACAAATTAAAAAATTATTAGTCTTATTAAATATTTATAATTTTTAATTCACACTAATACATATTTACTCCTAACTTTTTATTTTTATAATTCATATAATACTTTATTTTTTAATTATTATTTTTAACAAAAATTAGGTCTCAAACTTGTTTGCTTATATCACTTGATAATTTTTTAGAAAATGTAAAATTGACCAACTAACTATTAGTTTGAAGATTTTTATTATGTATATCAATTTTATAAATTTTTATTAAGAAAATAAAATTATTAATTACTTCATCAAATTATTTTATTTAAGTAGGTATATATTTGTAAAATATAAATAAATATTAAATGTTGGATAATATCTTTATACATAAATTACACGACGTGAAAAATGATATAAAATTATTCAAGATTGGATTGAAAAATTTTACATTACAGGAAAAATTATGAGTAAATTCTTAAATTAATCCCTGTGAGGTTGGAAGATTAAATAGAGCCATTAGTTTTTGATTTTATGAAAACGTAGGATAATTTAGTTGAATCAAGATTTGAGTCATAATATTGTTAACTTTTGTGGTTGGGTGACCAAAACTGTATCATTTCACCCTCTCCTCCTCTTCTCACAGTCTACCATTTCCTTCAACAATTTGTTTGTAAAAGTTTTAAGAGACAGAATCACCAAAAACTCACAATTACATGAAGAAATTTACTTAAAAAATTATTAAGTGATATATACATTTAAGTTACTCTTTTATTATTTATCTGTTTATTTATTTTTATATACACACTTAAGAAAAAAAGGAAATCACTTAAAAAAGTCATTTAACAGTTTAACAATTTATTAAAAAATTAAAAAAGAAAGAGCAGCGACAGCCACTTAAATAAATTAAAATTCGTATAATTAGTAAACAGTCTAATCCAATCAATTAATTGAAACTTTCTGGTCCTTGGTTTCCTGTAACATGGTTGATTTGAAACTTCCATTTTCCCCGAAACTGCAGAACTATGAAACTATGAAGGTGTTTAGCATTAAAATAGTAATAGTATTGCTAATGCATATGCCTCTCCTTTTTGCTCATACCTTCCAGAGAGATGAGTTCCCACCTCACTTTGTCTTTGGTGCATCAACCTCAGCTTATCAGGTTCTTCATCCTCTGCTCAACTGTTATTCTCTTCTTCCACTTTCTTCCTTTTCACTGTTATGCATTTCACTGTACTAGGTTTTTTATTTTTATTTTTGTGAAATAAGTGTTAAGAGTTTATTTGCAATATACTCTCAATGTAAGTCATTTTTACATTATAATTAATTTCAAATTATCATATAATTCAATTTATTTATTTTTATAAAAATTAAATTTAAATATGTTTTAGCTTTTTAAAATTGATTGATTTTGTTTTGATCTTTAATTAAATTTTATTTTTTAATCCCCATATTTAAGAAAACTAATGTATTTTTAATTCCTTACTAGAGACTAAAGGTAAATGATTTTTGCATTTTGTAGGGATTAAAAATAAATAAAAGTCAATCGAGAATTATGATCAGTGTATATTTGTATAAGGAGATATCTACGTACTTCAGGAGTATAATATACTTTCTCTTTTACCGTTTAAAGTTTTGCACAAGAATTAAAAAAAATAGAATTTGTTTGTTTCTGTTTTGGTTTATAATTTTCTAAAATTGTATTTTATAATAATTTTAAGAAAACTGTTTTTAAGAAGAAAATAAAAATAAAATTTGTGTTAAAAATAGAAATAAAAAAGTTCTTAATATTTTAAATTTAGGACTCTAAAGAACTCCTCTCTATTTGCGATGAAATATCAACTCTGAACACACTCTTTAAAGTATTATTTTTAATATGCTCTTAGTATAAATTTATTAAAAATTATATAACTTCTGTAGTTTTTGATAAATTTTAATTAATAATTAAAAATATATTTGAAAAAGTGTGTTAAAAGAATGTAAAGAACCATGCGATAAATCCATAGATGGCTAATTGGGATAGATATGGGTGAATAATGCATCTCCTTTAGAAATGTGTAACAAGTTGTATCCTGGCAATGTTTAAGAAAATTAAAAAATTATATCTATGTATATGTATACACATATGATGTCAAATAGATTAATGAAATAATCAAATCAATTAAACCATGATTTAAGTATTACTTTCTGGCATTGTGGGGATCAAAAAAGGTTGAGGGTGCGGCAAATGAGGATGGGAGGAAGCCAAGCATATGGGATACGTTTGCCCATGCTGGAAATGGTATTATCCTCTGCTCAAGTTTATAATACACCTCATTTCTTAACATCAAGTATTCTCTTTTTGTGGGTGTTTAAATATTTTGTTAAAAAAATTGAGCACTAAAATATATTTTCAGGGAATATGTTCGAAGGTGATGGAGATATTGCATGCGATCAATATCACAAATATAAGGTCTGTAACTGTGTAGTGTATACATAAAGAACAAAAAATATTGGAACAGAACTTATGTGCTGTTTGCTAATAAATTTAGAGTTCTGTTTTAATAGAACATTTACGTCTAATGTTATTGCAAATTGCTAAAGTAAAACTCTAATTTTGATTAGCAAATATGGAGCTAAATTTTGTCTTAGAGTTTGTGGTATATGCATGCATAGGATGCATCTTTTATATACAAGTTGGCTTTGAATTGACTATCTTTACCTAAAACTATTTTGCACAAAGAAAATACCAGACCATGGTTTCTTTCAGGAAGATGTGCAACTTATGGCCAACATGGGCTTAGATGCCTATAGATTTTCCATATCATGGTCAAGGCTTATTCCAGGTGAGATCACTTGTGGAGATTTCTTAAATCAGTCTAAGTTAGAGTTTAGTTGCCTAGCTCAAATTGTTTCAATTATTGTTCTTACCATCTTGTTTCTGTGGATTACCAGATGGAACAGGACCAGTGAATCCCAAGGGATTACAACATTACAACCACCTTATCAATGAATTGACAAGACATGGTTCTTGTGAAGACTAGATTTTCCTCTTAATTAACACCTAAGGGAGATTCTTCCAAGTTATATGCTGATATATATTCATCTTTGTTGATGTTTCCTCATCTTGTAGGAATCCAACCACATGTTACATTACACCATTTTGACCTACCACAAACACTTGAGGATGAATATGGAGGATGGGTTAGTAAAAGAATTGTGTACGGTTCCCAAACTTCAAGCATCTAATTGTGTCACCATCTTGTGCTAGATAGGAAATAATAGGGAATACACCTAGCATAAAATTGAGAAATGATTCTATTTTGATTGACATATTTGTATATGAATGCTTGTAGGAAAGACTTCACCACATATGCAAATGTGTGCTTCCGAGAATTTGGTGACAGAGTTAAGTATTGGATCACAGTGAATGAGGCCAATGTGCATGCAATGGCAGGCTATGATTTGGGAACCTTACCTCCTCAGCGGTGTTCTCTTTCCGCTAAAGTTAACTGCTCCAGGGGAAATTCCTCAACAGAGCCATATTTGGCAGCCCATCATATGTTGTTAGCACATGCATCAGCTGTTAGATTGTACAGGAAGAAATACCTGGTAAAATAATTTATGGCACATGTACCACTATACTTTCGGTGCATTTGGATAAAAACATAATCAAGCATTTATTTAATAAGTTCTTATTGAATAAGGAGTTTATACCATATACTAGACCACGCAATTTATTGACAAAACCTGAAAAGAGCTTATTTTGATAAGCTATATGAAGAAACTTACTGAAATAAGCTAAAAAGAACTCATGAGAGTCGTAAATTATTTTTATAAGCCTCTATTTTCGAAGAGCTTATCATTAGGCCTTTCTATTTGCATTGGGTAACATAATTATGCAGCATTCTATGTAAGTTGATCATTATGATGTGATTTTGAAAATTGATTGGCTGTTAGGAATTATTTCATTTGTTCAGGAAACAATTTATGTTAAATATTACAGGAAATGCAGCATGGCCTTATTGGGTTTAATCTACTTACGTATGGTCTTCTTCCTCGAACAAATACTAGTGAAGACATAAGGGCCACTCAAAGGGTTCTAGACTTCAGTATCGGATGGTAGGTAATAATCTAGTAATGATATCTCTCTCTAATGTTTATTGACACAATGACACTACCCTATTTGGCATTCGAGGATTGCAAAAGACAAACGCTACCAAAAATTTAAACTGTTAAGATATGGGATTTTTGTATCTAATATTTCACCACAAACAAGATTCCTTTGAGCTTGAAGCATAAAAAGTACATGGGCTACTAAATAGATTGTAAATAGATAGATACTCTTGGTTTCTGAATGAATTGTCTTGGCAGGTTTCTTAATCCCTTCACTTTTGGAGATTACCCTGATATAATGAAAAAGAATGCTGGCTCGAGGCTTCCTTCTTTCACCCAAAAGGAATCAAATGTAGTGAAGGGCTCCATTGACTTCTTAGGAATAAACTTTTACGTAACATATTTTGTTAAGAACAGTCCTGGCAGCCTGCAGATAGAGGATAGACATTACACCGCAGATATGGCAGTGGAATTTGAAAGTATGTTATAAGACATTTCCTCAAGTTTTGATTACATAACCACTATATTGAACTTTAACATGTTTGACTATATATAAATGTCTCTCTATTGTGTCATATCCCATCCTTAACTTTATGAATAGAGATACTTTTTGTACGTTGATGGACTGATTTTCATGCTAGTTTACTTGTTGCTACTGTGGTTTTAATGGCAATGAGATTGTGGTTCAACATTTGTGATTTTTGGTTTCTATTCTTAGGATCATGAAATTTATGGTATATTGGATATTTATTAAATTTCTAATTCTCTGAGACAGCACATCTGATTGTAATAAAATGAATGTCTCTTGCCCTTGCCCTTGCTGACAGTTGCTAATACTTTCTGTAGACCTTCTGTGTTCACTCTTGTCTCATACAAACATAAATTTCAATACATCAGTTCTAATTGTTCTTAATATTCACCCACTACATTTTCTTTTCTCTCCTATATTAGTTCTCATCTTCCTCTAATCCATGTCATCAAATGTGATCAAATCTGTTCAAATTTTCAAACTCCGTGTTTTTGGTGAAGACTTGTTTAGCTGGTACTTAGTAAACTCAAACAGATGAAATAAATCTGTGATATCACCCACCTTCCCCTAATTTTGGGGAACTGAGACAGCTAAATAATGTTCTTTATGATTGTAGGCCTCCCTCAAAATGATACATCTACATATGAGGTAACAGAGCATAATGAACTTGGAACACTTCCTTTTTTCATTCTCTTTTTGAACATTTTCTTATGGTAGAGTTTCAGTGCTTTCAACTAACCAGTTGAGTGGTTCAGTTCCCAATTACAACCTGGAGCTTGCTAAGGGTGCTTGACTCATTGAAGAATGCTTATGGAAATGTTCCAATCTACATACATGAAAATGGTATTGCTCTTAGTCTCTTGTCTCCCACAAAACAATGTATGCAAACCTTTTATGATGACATGCCTGAAATCATCATATCAATTCAACCTTCTATTATATAGTTGTATGGTGAGTCTTTGATCCTTACAGGGCAACAAACATCTCGAAATTCATCATTGGATGACTGGCCAAGAGTGAAGTACTTGCATGAATATATTGGTAGCATGCTTGATGCACTGAGGTACTTTGATGTCATAACATGATACCTCTCCATTTTATTTACAATAGTCGTTTGTTTTATGATTTTAATTCATATTTTTATTTCGTTTCTCTTATTACCTTTTTTTTCCCCCCTTTATTCATGACACATTGAAAGGAGTGGAGCAAATGTAAAAGGTTATTTTGTATGGTCCTTCTTGGATTTATTTGAGTTACTGACTGGATATGAATCAAGTTTTGGCCTATATTACATAGATACGAATGATCCAAGCTTAAGGAGGCAACCTAAGCTTTCTGCTGAATGGTACTCAAATTTTCTGAAGGGGAGGTCTATGGACCCGAAGTTCACCTCAGAAATTGAGAAGAATGCACCTGTGCTATCACATTCTCCCTTGCTGCATAAGGCTGCATGAAGTTACGAATTAATTAAAGGACATGGTTTATGATATCATATTATTAAACTTGACTAGATTTTTAGTAGCATGATGTGAAGTACATGTCATACTATATTATGATGATTGAAGCATTTGTCTTGCTAATCAAATGTTTAATATAATATTGAGATTCTAATGCTCCTAAACAGAAAACAAAAAAGAAGAAAAAATGAATGAAAAATATGAATTGAAAGTGTAAATTCAAGTAGAATTGTTCCTGCCAATAATCTAACTAATGTGTACTCCAAACACCACGAAAATTTTTTTATACCGTAGATTCTAAATGAAACAAATTATTATCTCTGACTTTATAATAATCTAATTATTAATAATTTTTCTTTAAAAAATCAAAGTATTTGCGTTATTGCGTAACGTTTAAGTATACAACGTAATACATCAAATTAATCTCTAAAATTACTAAAAAAATATTATTTTAGGTCATGAAATTATTAAACAACATTCATTTTAATATTTGACATTATTAAAAAATGATTATTTTTAATCTTTAAGTTATAAAAATAAATAAATAAAATTAAATTGAGTAATAAAGAATAAAGCAATATTTTATGATCTCAATAATTAAATTAATCATAATTTTAAAACTAATTTAATGTCATACTTTTAATTAATATTGATTTATTTTTGTTCTATTTTGCTTCAAAGTAAATTTTGATACACATGGTAATAAAAATAATATAAGATAATTTAACAGTTATATTAGCTAATTTTATATTTTATAAAATATTATTAACAAATATAAGTATTTAAATTTAACACCTATTAAAATTTTTTTAAACTCAATATAGTATTATTAATTTTTTGTATATATAAAAAGTATTCACACCTGAGACTACTTAACTAAAAAAGTGCTCAAGAGATTCGATTATTTGTTGATTATATTGATTGTGTTTTGTAAATAATATTAATATTGTATAAAAATTCTTCTATCAGGTACATAAGTCAAAAAGACAATTTTGATTATTTAAATACGGCAAAAACGCTTTTAAAATATAAAAATATTTATATCAATATTAATTTTAAGAGTATTTTTTAATACCTAAAGATTAATATTCTATTCAAAATAAATATTTTTTGTATTTAAAATACGAAAGTATAATTAATATTATTTAACAAAAAATATTATTTTTATTTATATATTTAAAATTAATTTTAAAAATTAATGTTGATAAAATTGTTTAAATACTTATTAAGAAAATCTAAATAATTTTTTAACAATAATTTTAATTAACGTGAAGACGCCAGTTTAAAAAGACTCTTTAGTTATAAATAAATATTTTCCCTTTGATTCGACATGTGGCCATAGTATCAATACACGTCGTGTTTGATATGCTGTAGAAGAGCTAGACAATGACATCTATACAATAGAAAATACAGAAACAACCCATACAAACAATTTCACAAAAACTCAAAAGCATAAACGTTGAATCCAAAGAAAGCAATAACATGTGTGCTTGATTGTCCACAAACAGCACACGGCAGAAAGAAGAAACACATACACTATTATGATTATGTTGTTGAAGATTTTTGCTATTATAATACAATTACTTTTGGTAACAGTTCTAAATGGTGTTCATTCCTTGCACAGAGATGAGTTCCCACTTGACTTCGTGTTTGGGGCATCAACCTCAGCTTATCAGGTTCTATTACTTTTTTACTCTTGCAATTTCATGTGAGTGTCACTAGTAATCAGTTCGATGTCCTAGTTCTTTCTATTATGTTGCTGAACATGTTTTAAATTATATATTTATTGGATTTTTGGGGTGAAAGGTTGAAGGTGCTGCAAATGAAGATGGGAGGAAGCCAAGCATATGGGATACCTTCTCCCATGCTGGAAATGGTACTATTATCCTCTACTCACATATATAATATGGTTTATTTTTTAATGATTTTTTTATTACTATTATTTGGTTAAAAGAAATTGAGTAGTGACATATGTTTTCAGGGAATATGTATGCAGGTGATGGAGATGTTGCATGTGATCAATATCACAAATATAAGGTGACTGTAGAGTGTGAAGTATATAGTTATATATAGAGAGAACCAAAAAAAATTTTTGTATTCATATGCATGCACAGTTGCACACAAAATGGTTCTTATTTATATTCATGACTGGCTTTAAATTGGTGTTCTTTACCTAAAAGTAATTTGCACTGAACAAATATCGGACGTTGATTTCCTGCAGGAAGATGTCCAACTCATGGCTAACATGGGCTTCGATGCATATAGATTTTCCATATCATGGTCAAGGGTTATTCCAGGTTACATCACCAAAATGTTGTTTGTGAGAGATTCTTAAATCAATGTTTAAAATAATATCAAAAGTTATATTTACTAGACACAGAACTTAGTTTGATTTAGGACAATGAATCTGTGACTCCATTTGAATATAGTTGCCTAGATCAAACTGATATTTCCATTACTGTTCTGACCCTTTTGTTCTAATGCATTACCAGATGGAAGAGGACAAGTGAATCCCAAGGGAGTACAATATTACAACAACCTTATCAATGAACTGATAAGCCATGGTTCTTGTGAAGACTAGATTTTATTTTTAATGTTTGATTGACCCCTAGGAGTTGTTCTTCTAAGTTATGTGCTGATATATATTTATTTTTGTTAATGTTTCCTCATCTTTTAGGAATCCAACCACATGTTACATTACTCCATTGGGACCTACCACAAACACTCGAGGATGAATATGGAGGATGGGTAAATCGAAGAATTGTGTATGGTTCCCAAACCTCTAATCTCTGGTTTGGTTACCATTATGTCCTAGATAGGAGATCATGCTGAATTCATGTGGCACAAAATTGATACATGGTTTTTATTGTAATTAACATATCTATATGTGTATACTTGTAGGAAAGACTTTACAACATACGCGGATCTGTGCTTCAGAAAATTTGGTGACAGAGTTAAGTATTGGACCACTATGAATGAGCCCAATGTGTATGCAATTTTTGGCTATGATATAGGACTGTTACCTCCTCAGCGGTGTTCTCCTTCCTTTATAACTAACTGCTCCAGAGGAAATTCCTCAACTGAACCATATTTGGTAGCACATCATATGTTGTTAGCACATGCTGCAGCTGCTAGATTGTATAGGAAGAAATACCAGGTAAAAATTATCTACCAAATGAACCAATCAACTTGGTCATTCACAAGGCCTTTTTTCGCATTTAGAAACATAATCAGGAAGAATAGCATTTGAAGCAAAAATAATCATCATTTCATTTGTTTAGAAAACAATCTTTTTTGAATGCAGGGCATGCAACATGGCTATATTGGATTTAACCTCCTTACTTTTGGTCTTGTTCCATTAACAAATACTAGTGAAGATGTAAGTGCCACTCAAAGAGCCCAAGACTTCTTAATTGGTTGGTAAGTAACAATCTGACCATGTTATCTCTCTATTGTCTATTCAGTGTTAACTTCAAAAAAATTTGCATCCTGGGATTGCAAAGGACCGAATCTTTAAAACACAAAAGTAATTAAACTGTTGAGACTTATATCTCTAACATGTCCCTTCATATGAGAGTCCTTTGAGCTTAAAGCATGACAATACACACACTCCACTGGACCGTGCAAGTTAATCATAGAGAATGTGATTACAATGATTAAACTCTGGGACTATAGATGTTTTTATACCATTGATGAATGCTGCAAATGATTTTATATCTCATTCAATGTTGCTTATCGGATATTTACGTAAAAATCCAACATTTTCTCCCAATCAAATAGATGACACAACTTTCAATTACATTAATTGCTACATTAGGCTTTTTTTCTATGATTTTTTATTGCAGGTTTATGAATCCCTTTACATTTGGAGATTACCCCAATATAATGAAGAAGAATGCTGGCTCAAGGCTTCCTTCCTTCTCCCAAAAGGAATCAAATCTGGTCAAGGGCTCAATTGACTTCATAGGAATAAACTTTTACTACTCATTTTATGTTAAGAACAGTCCTGGCAGCCTACAGAGGGAGGATAGAGATTATATGGCAGATTGGTCAGTGGAAACTGAAAGTATGTTTGAAGTATTTTCCCTGACCTTGTTTATTTGCATAATCAATTTGACATCAACAAGTTACTAATGCATAAATGTCTCTTTACATGCTATATTATTTTCAGCAACGGTGGCTTTAAATGGATACACTGTTTAAATATTTGTGATTTTTGTTTCCTTTGGATCATGGAATTTATGGTTTCTTTAATTAAATATTTAAATCTTCTAATGATTCGGGACAGCAAATCTGATTGAAAATCAATGTCTTGTGTCGTTCTTGACTCTTACCAATACATTTTATGAACTTTCTGTGGCTCCATTGACACACCCTGATGGAATTTCTTCTGTATTGCAATCTTGTCTCACACAAAGATAAATAAACATGAATATATAAATTCCAGTTGTTCTTGGTATTCATCCACTTCATTTTCTTTTCTTGCCTCTACTAGTTCAAATCTTTCTCTATAACTGGTATAATCCATGCCATCAATTGTTAACAAATCTTGTCTAAATTTTATAATTGTGTCCTGTCATTGCTGAAGACTTGTTTAGTTCTTCACTATGTGAAATCAGTCAGTGGTGTCATCCACCTTCATGCAATTTTGTGGAACTGAAATAGCTAATTAGTGTTCTTTCTGGTTGTAGAGGTTACTCAGAATGATACACCTACAGATGAGGTAACATAGCAGGAACATGGTGCTGCTCCTATCTTTATGTACTCCCTCCTTTCTTTTTTGTTCCACATTTAAGATTTTGCAAAGGAAATTAAGAAAGTGATTGTTATTTTAAACTTTATAAAAAGTTATTGCTTAACTATCTATTATACCCTTTGTCCATTATATTAATTATCTCATTTATTATCGTCTACCAAACAAACATTAATTATTAAGGGTAAAATCATAAAAATGCAATAATTGCTCATTGGTTTTATAAAATGACAATGAAAAATGAACATAATAAATTCGTTAGTGTTGAAGAAAAAATAATGGAGGTAGTATTTCTTTATTTTTTCAAAGATGAGGCCTCAACACTAATGCAATAATTGCTCAAATGACAATGAAAAATGAACATAATAAAATTGTTAGTGTTGGAAGAAAAAAGAATGGAGGTGGTATTTCTTTATTCTTTCAAAGATGAGGCCTGAACACTTTCCACTAATCAGCTGGTTGGTTTAGATTCCAATTACTCCCAGGATTTTCCAAGGAGTGCTAGACTCATTCAAGAACAATTATGGCAATATTCCAATTTACATACATGAAAATGGTATGGAAATTTTTTTAAATAATGATATGATCTTTGTATCTCCTTGAAATCATCATTCCAAAAGCTTAACATTTCTTTTATCATCATGTATTCAACCTTCCTTTGATCTAGTTGTATGATAAGTCTTTGGAGTTTTGCAGGCCAACAAACACCTCATAATTCATCATTGAATGACTGGCCAAGGGTGAAGTACTTGCATCAATATATTCTTAGCTTGGTTGATGCACTAAGGTATATACCTCTACCTTACTTTTCATTTTTCAAGCGTGAGCAATACAAATAGAGTATAATGTCTTAACATAACACCTCTGCACTTTATTTAAAATAATGATTCTCTTACATTTAGCTCTTTGAATTGATTTTAAGCATCTGAAATAGTAAAATTTTTTCTGAAATCAAAATATAATAAATATATTTTTTGGGGGCAAAAATTTACTGCTTTTAATTGTTTTAAATTAACCCTCTTGACAGATGTCAATATTTTCCTTAAAATAAGTGTCAATTGCTCCATGAATGATATTTGATTTTTCTTTGATCTCTTTTCCCCATCCCATTTTTTTCTGAAAGGAGTGGATCAAATGTAAAAGGCTATTTTGTATGGTCCTTCTTGGATGCATTCGAGTTAATGGGTGGCTATGAATCGAGTTATGGCCTATATTACGTAGATATGAAAGATCCAAGCTTGAGGAGACAGCCTAAACTATCTGCCAAATGGTACTCAAATTTCCTAAAGAGGAAACCCCTGAACCCTAAGATCACCAAAGAAATTGAGAAGAGTGCCATATAAAGGAATCAGAACAAGTTGAAATTCTGGATCCTTTTCTTGTTTGGGGGGGTCATAATTTGCAACTTTGTGCTACCACACATGTGAATAACAGCACATAGATGTCAAAAGTCAAATTATTGAACTGCCCCTACTATAAATTGTTGAGTATGAAATCTTTCATACAAATTCTCATAATTGAAAATTATATTACTGCGTTTTGTAGAACTTATTCTCATGAATTTGTTTTAGTTTATTTTAATATTATTTTTCATATAATTTACTGCAATAAACTATTGAATCTAATGTACTTTAATTATGGCACTTATATCCGTGGTTCTCATTCATTTTTAATAGAGTTTTCAGTTTGGACTAATCCAATTTAATCTCCGTTTGACTTACATCAATAGCAGGTTAATACGAGTCAAGTTAAAAAATATATTTAAAATAATTTACACTTTAAAAATTATAATGGAAGTTTAGCTTTTGTAAGTAACGATATGATTAAATTGTGTTAAAATAAAATATTGAATTAATATTTTTTTAAAAAACACTAAAATATCAAATATCAAATATTTATTCAACAAAATTAAAATAATTTTTCTAATTATTTTAAATATTTGAAATAAAAATTCTAATTAGTCTATCAATTATTTGAATTTTTTTAAAAAAAATTGTATCTTCAATTACAATGTTTTTCTTTTAATTTACATCATTCTCATCATTGTAGTTTAAAATAAAATCTTGATTATATTAATAAATTTTATAAATAACAATTTTAATTTAAAATACACATTATAGATTGAAATAACAAAACTTGAATTTATTGAGAATTTTAATTCAAATGTTTAAATCTTTTTTTTTAGTATTTCTAGTTAAGTAAGTCTATTTTGCATGATTAGTAAAAAGTACTTTTAATAGAAGTCTTAATTATAACATTTTTTTTACCAAAACGATTGTATTACTATAAAATGATGAATGTTCATGGCTTCGCTTGAACGAAAAAATTAAAATAAATGAGTTTGGATACAATTTTTTTCCTAAATGAATTAAATTAAAATAATTAATTACGCTATGATTTTCTCCTTGATAAAGTTTCTTAGAGTATAATTATTGCTCGTAATTTTTATTCTATTTTTTATTTTCATTTTTTGAAAATAAGTTTTGGAAATAAGTATATTTTTTATTTTACAATGATTTTTTTTAAATATAAATAATCATACTCTAAGAAACTTTATCAGTGTATTTTAACAAAAAAAGAAAAATGAGAGAAATGAAGGAATAAAGAGAAACAAATATAAAGAAGAGATAAAAAAAGAAGAAGAAGAGAATTATTTACTACAAATAAGATAAAGGAATTTGTGCAACTAAGTGAGTCAATAAATATAACAAATTCTAATTAAAAATAATAATATTTACAATAATATAATCATATTTTTATTTTTCTTATTTTCAAATAAAAAGTTGAAAACAAGATTTTTTTATTTTCAAATTTAAGTTGAATTTTAAAAATATTTTCAAGAATTTTTTTTAAACCTAACCTAACATATTTTCTTTTTTACTTTCGATTTTTATTGAAAGTGAAAATAAATGAACAAATCAAACATTTTAGGTTCTTGGTATGTTAATTATCAATTTCAAATTAAATGACAGGAGGATACTTTTATCAAAATTATTAATATGTTTTTGAATAAATAATATTCACGTTTCTTTGCTTGATTCGCAAATTTGGTAACAATAATTGAGCATTTAAAGACATAATATAATGAAGTTAATTTAAATTTATTTATTTAACATATGTTTAATATGTCATAAAAAAATAGAGGCCTGAACAATATAAAGTTTTTTTTTTTCGAAAAAAAACAATACAATGTACTCTACGATTTTAAACACTGTTTTTTTTTTTTTGGTTAATATTTTAAACACAGTTTTAGAATAAAATAAAGTATTTATTAAATACGGGCAACATCACTAAAGAATGTATTGATTAATTTTGTCAACATTCAAAAGCCTATTTTGACTTATCATACTTTAAATGGAGTGCGAATAACAAGATAAAATCAACGGTTTAAATCAAACAAACACTACATATAAAACATAATGGATAATGTCAAAAAAACAAAATAAAATCACGTCACCAAAACAGAGTTACATAATTAACTAATCAAACCCAAACAATACTACAAGAGAACAATCTATGAGCTGAAAAAACTCAAACTCCTATTCTAACTGCAAAATTATGCATGAACTACTAAACAATTAAAATAAAAAATTTTGTAGTAAGCTTCTCATCATAAGTTACACTATCATTTTTATCTTTATACATAGTAAAAGTTTTCTAACTTAAGCTGAAGTGTTTAAAACCATTAACTTCAACTAAAAAGAAAAAAAAAAAATCCTCTGTTTTTCTTTCCTATTCATTAATAATAGGTCTGAACTTTATATACAATATTTCCCATATGATAGAATTATTCTTTCTGCATTATTATGTTCGGTTATACCCGAAAGTTTTGTCATTATTATTATAAGCACATATTTAATTTTGGTTTATAATATTTGAGTGTTGATTTGGTTATGCTAGTAGTAGAGGGGTATGGAGGTAATTTAATTCAAAAGCGTCACCAAAATTGTGTTTGCGTGTTGTTACCTGTGACCTCCTCATCGTTGCTTTGGCTTCATCTTCTTATCAATAGCGAAAATCTGGGTTTTAGTATTGTCCTGTTAAATTCTTACGAGGTGTCTTGTTTTTGCTATTCTTTGTTAATGGACATTGAATCCTCTTCGGGTTCGCATGAAAGATTCAAACTTTACGATGAGCTGGAACTGCAAGAGTTTCAGGACAAGTTTGTGATTAAATCCCATCAATCCCCCAACCAAGGCTTCTGGATTAACCGTCTTGATGGCAGCATCAATTTACTTGATGGTAATTTCCTTTATTTTTTTTATTTTGTGATTGGTTGCATAGAAAAATGCAAGAAGTTTCTGTGAAGTTTGTAACTTGATGTTGTTGTTGTTATTCAGAGCAAATGAATTGAAAAGTTAGTTTTTTTTTTAAGTGGAAATATTTTTTTGGGTCTGGGAATTTTCAAAATCTTAAGAGATCATTTATTTGCAAACATGATGTTATTTAGTGCTGTGTAATGTGTTGGTGGATGTCAGTTTTGGTTGGATGGTATTTTGGGAAGCAAGGGAAGATCGTGTGTTATATTATATACTGAATATGTTCATTTACATATCTATGAATCAGTTATGGCCAAAAGTTACTGTTTCTTACATTCTGCGGTTTGTTTGGCTCTTCTTTGGTTATTTATTTTCAGCTCCATGTATTGCAAATTTTATCATCATATTCGAAATTGACTATTTTATTGTAACAAATATTTTTATGATTATTTTTCTATGCAGGTGACACATTCTCTGAAAGTCCATCCAGGAAATCTACAATTTATGGTGTGGTGGGAACAATAAGATTGGTTGTAGGTAGATATGCTTATGTGCTTTTATCTTAAGTGGTCTACACATATGATAAAACTGTCCAAGATCTTTTCATGCGTTGCGGTTTTGTGACAAATTTTCCTCCCCTATGGCACTACTGTATATTTCTTGCAAAACATTGGTATTTTGAATTGGAGAATAGCTTTTTTTTTTCCATGCATTTGCACCGGTTACCTTCTTTTTTTCTTTTCATTTTAGTAACCACCTATTCTAACAACATGACTTTCTTTATATTCGTTGAGGCTCAATGATATGTTCATTGGTGCAGGAACTTATGCTATTGTAATAACTTCTCGGAAAGAAGTTGGAAGTTTCCTTGGTTTTCCAGTATATCGCTTGATGTCTATGAGAGTACTTGCCTGTAATCAGGCTTTGAAGTTTTCAACTGCTCAAGAAGTAAGTACTTATGTAGTCAGAAGTCATTGAGGTATCATTAAAATTCTACACGTGATTCACATTTAATACATCTTCTGTGTACTCTCTGTAGAAAAAAGATGAGACTTACTTCATGACTCTGTTAAAAGCAGTGGAGTCAACGCCAGGCTTGTACTATTCATATGAAACAGATATTACATTAAAGTAAGAATCCCTGTCTTTAAACTGATGATTTATTATCATCATAGTCACATCATATTAATATCATTCCAAGGTTGACATTCATAAATTCTACATGTTCACCAGCTTGCAAAGAAGAAGCAAATTAGTAGAAGGCTGGACGAATAAGCCAATCTGGAAGCAGGTTAGTTGACAAAACGCTTAATCTTCTAGGAATAATTGTCATCAAATCCAATTGTTAAGTGATGTGAAATTTACTTCTTCATTGAGATTGAAGCATTCTTCTGTCAACATTCTGGATTGAATATATTTCAGCTAAAATCTCGTGTATATTTTCTTTCACTCTCTATGTATATACTACTATGTTTTGATACATTATTTTATTTATTAGTTCTGCCATGTTGTCATTGCAGTGTGTCATATTCAGTCCTTTCTGGACCATTTCTCTGATGCTTTTATTTCTAGAGTGGGAAGGGTCAAATAAAGGCCTCTTGAGTCTTGATCCTGTTGACACCATTTCGTGCAATTATTAGTAAAAACTTGATAAAAGTTTTAGATTTCCTTGTTCCATTTGTATTTCAGGCTGACCCTCGATTTGTCTGGAACAAACATCTTTTGGAGGAGCTTATTGAGTTTAAGGTTAGATAATTTGGAAGCTCTTCCTGTTTGCCGAAGAAAAAATGCTTTTAATTTCACTTAAACAAGGATGCTTATAAAAAAAAATAGAAAAGAAAAGGAAGTATTTTTCAAATATTTAATGAACATCATCTTGTCATTCTTATATAATCATGAGGTTTTCTCCTTAACACCTATATTTATGGTTGCAGCTTGACCAGTTCATCATGCCCCTCATGCAAGGCAATATCCTAAAGTTTAAAACTTTAAATTACCTCTGCTCCCACCCCCTCCGTGCTCCTTATCTGTTTGTGTGTGTGTGTGTGTGTGTGTGTGTGCATATGCTCTCCATATAATGTCAGTAAAAAAAATTATGAAAATGAAGTATGTGTTCACTTTAAGAAGCCATTTATGTTCTCCCTTAACTGGGCGTAAGCTTCCAAGTAGCTGAGCTGAAGCTAAAAGACTCAAATGCTACAGTAACTTTACTTTCAAGAAGATGTACACGACGTCTAGGTATAATTTCAATAGATGCTTCTTATAACAAGAGTTTAGAAGCTTCTAATAGCTCATTAAAATGTGGTAATATGGTGATATAGGAACAAGAATGTGGAGAAGAGGTGCTAACCTTGAAGGTGACACTGCTAATTTCATTGAGACTGAACAGTTGCTTGAAACTGAAGAGTTCAGGTCCTCATTATTACAGGTACTATCATACATTAATGAGTATTATCTTCCAGTAATTCCTTACAATAGTTTCTCCTCACAGTTTCTGCTAGCATGTTGTCTGTGTTTCTGAGAATTTGTACTGTTGACAAACATGCTGAAGGACTGTGATTACTGTATTTTCCTCAAGTTTTAAATTTCAAACATAGATAATATATAGTGTGCAGGATATATAGATTCACTACCTTTTTTTTTTTAAAGTACAGTTATGTATTTGGAGATTTGACTAATTTTCTCTTAGTTTCAATTAGAGATAATTATTCCTTACTTCCTCTACGTTTTGTGATCCAATGGATTTAATATGAAGCAATAACTGGAATTTAACTCGTTTAGGGTTATATAAAGAGAGAGAGAGAGGTTAATGAACATTTGATATCCTAGTTCCAAGAACATCTTTTATCTGCAAATGTCAACATTTTGGTCTCCCAGTTTGTGATTTGTGCTCCAATTGATTGTTTTGCAGGTTCGAGGTTCAATTCCTCTTCTGTGGGAGCAGATTGTTGATCTAAGCTATAAACCGCACCTTAGGGTTATTAGTCATGCGCAAACAGTATACTTCTATCTCTCAATTCTGCTAGCTCTTTGATGGTGTATCTTGAGATTTATATTAATAGATGTTTCTTCTACTTTCCCCCCTCACTCCTTCCACTTCAGCCGAAGATTGTGGAGCGTCATTTCCATGATCTCATGCAAAGATATGGAGAGATAGTAGCACTTGATCTTACTAATAAAGTAACGTTTCTATCTGCTCTCTTCCTACTTTTAGCAATGAATTTATCACAAATTTATTTCTCAGGTTTATTGCCAGTCCAAAGATACATAGCATCTTCTTGATGCTTTGGAGATTCATAATGGAGTAAAAATGTGTTTGGTTCAGTTTGGCCTCAAAAGCTGGATGCTTTGGAGTCATTTTTACATCTGATCATGTTTAAATATTTTTTTCTTTTCCAGCGCCCCTTTTTTATCCTTAAAATTTTTAGTTGGGAAATTGAGTTAGCATGTCCTTGAGGATATTCTAATCATCAGCCAGTCTCTAAACCAATGTCCCCTTTTAAGCGCTTGTTATTTTGTCTGTATTATTTTGAGAAATTTCTTGTTAATTTTACTCTTGTAGCATGGTGAAGAAGGTCAATTAAGTGCAGCATATGCAGCTGAAATGAAAAATCAGGAAAATGTGAGGTGATAATTTAAACTTCCTTGTACACTTATTTACAACCATGTAATCATGAAGTTTGCTTTGGTTGTATCATAGCTTAAACTGCTTCAGTGTGTTTGATATGATTATTCTGTGACATATGTTTCCTCTTTCTTTTAACTTACAACATAAAAGGGATTATGGCAGATATGTGCCTTTTGATTTCCATCATCACTGTGGGAGCTCAAACTTTGATAATCTGAAAATCCTCTATGATCAAATCTCAGAGGATTTTGAAAAACAAAGGTAATTAAAAAATATAAGTATTGTATACAAATTCAATAGCTAGTTGCCACAATCCAGGTATGCTGGCATATCCATAATTCAGATTTTTAATCATTGCTGTTTCAGTTGAGCAGATACTTCTTGATAGATAGAAAAGGAAATGTAATAGAGGAGCAGAGAGGAGTTATCAGAGTAAACTGCATTGATTCCCTTGATCGAACAAATGTTACTCAGGTTTGTTGAGAAGGGTTTAATTGAATGCTAGGACTTGTTCTTTTCTTAATCCTTGTTTGATCATGCTACTGTTTACAAACATGGAAGATATCCTGTTACATGACTACTTGTTTTGACCATCTTTACTCTGTTTGTAGTGTTATCTGGCCCAGAAGTCAATAGATCTTCAGTTGCAGAGGATTGGAGTGCTTACTTCCTCTGAGTGCATTTCAATGTTTGGAGAGGAATATGGAAAATTTAGAATATGTATGAAATTTCTTGATAATTTCTTCCACTCTTTATGAATTATTCCCCTGCTTATTTGAGCTCTATTTATTTTATTTAGTGTGGGCAGAGCAGGGTGATGAGTTAAGCATGGAGTATGCTGGGACTAATGCACTCAAAGGGGACTTAGTTAGGTGTGAAATTTTTTGTCCTGCAGTCCTATGTTCCTATGTTTCCCTTCTTTGATGCTGGTATATTTTGGAAATATGGTGCAGATATGGAAAACAAACAATATCTGGAATAATCAAAGATGGGGTGAGTGCAATGTCACGATATTACTTGAATAACTTCCATGATGGGATTCGGCAGGCAAGTTCATTTATGTGCACTATTCTTACCACTCATTTATATAAAGGGCGCTCAATCTCAAAGTGCTTAAAAAGTTTCATGTCTTTTGCAGGATGCCCTGGATCTGATAAGTGGTAACTATACTGTCAGCAGAAACATTCCTTCTCCTCTCCAGTTGAATACCTTTGAACCATTAACGGTGAGTAGCATCAGTGCCTAGTCCTTCTATATTCTACCAACCCCCAATTTGATTCATGTATTGAATTGAAAAAACAAAATGAGCCAACCTTGGTTTGGTTAAGAGAAAAGGGAGCCAAGCCACCCCCAATTCATCAATAAGTCCTATCATATATAGGTTGGCTTCCAATGATAACTTGTCATCTAGGATGACAAGTTATTCTCCCTTAGTACCTATACAGAGAGGGGAGGATGGACTAATGTAAAAGTTGTTTTAGTCTGAAGATCATGGTTATCATGACACCATTTGATTCATGTGCTGGTCCTACCTAGTTGGAAAAGGCATGATTGTTTCTGTTGTACGGTTGGCATAAATGGGATGGTCATTTATCTTTTGGGAGCAGTTCTAATTTGATGACAACAAAAACTGTTGCATTATGCATCCTGGTATATAATTAACTATAGAAAGAATACATATAAAGACAAGAAGCTTAGGAAAACCACATTACAAAAGCCAGCTATTGTAGACGGTCCAAGGCCTTATAAACTCCACACTAGAATCCCGTACATCTAATGTGGAATTCAAGTTCTATACCTTGCAATTGGATCCTAACACATGTCCAACACCAAACCAATTCTTAATAAGCCATTTAGCACATGTAATTTTAAATGCTGTTTGTGGACAGAAAATTACATTACTCTTCATCTTTTAAAATGGCTTATAAAACAACTTTTCAGTGGTATTGACTTGTCTTATGGAAAACTGTAAATATGCAGTACCTCCCTGTGGCATCAGCTTTGATAATTGGAGGTTTGACAGCAACAACCTTCACTCTTCAGCAAGGTATATAATTGTGTTTCTCCCATCTGAATACAGGGTCCTTGATGCTTTGCTTTGTTTTATTTTTGTTCCTCAAATTTTAATTTTCTTGTTTATTTTATAGCAGGACGAAATGCGCAACATTATGTGTCTTCTGTACTCTCTGCTGGAATAACTGCTGGGGTCATGGCAGTAGTTAAAGCTAATGGAAGGCAGTTCTGTTCAAGGCCCCGTTTGTGTGGTCTATTGTGACACAAGTACCAATGAATTTTCATTACCCCTTTGAACAAAACGTATAAATTTGTGTGGTCTCACCGTAGAGATTGTAAATATGATGCTTATGTTAAATATTTTGTTTTCGGATAAGTAGTTGTTTTCAATGAACTTGATATCAGTTGGGGAATCCATGGCATTTCAGCTGTCTATTGAATTAGCCAGCTGTTGGCAAAAATAATAAAAAATTATGATTTCTCAAAGTTGCAAAGATCAAAGGGGCTATGATGAAGTGTGTAGTATTCTTGAGTTTTGTTAATTTCAGCTTAGAGTTTGAGTTTAAGTACTAAAAATTAGTAAAGTTTTATTGGGAAAGAACATATTTAATTATTAATGACATTAAAGTTATAAAAGTGTGAAAAATACTTTTTTAAAAATAAAAATTTACTATTTTATGTGCTTAAACTGAGGCTACGGAAGAGGTTAACAATATCTTTTTGGTAAAAGATTTACTTCAACGTTTCAACTCAATCGATACAATAGTCATGATCAAATAGTGTGGATGAGGCATGAATGAGTTTGGCTACATTTTAAATGTCCACAGATTTGCATGAGGGTACATTTAAGTAAATAGTTTAATTAATTGTTTATTTTAATGAACTCTTATCAGATAGGGATTTATAGTATACATTTAATCATGAAGCTAGTTAGAATGAGATTTAAAAAAAGCTTATTTTGATTAACTTACATCAAGAAACTTAGAGAAATAAACTAAAAATGATAATTTCATAATTTCTTCAAAAGGCTCTCTAATTATAAAATAAGTTATATTCTACATCTTATCGCAAATGACCATTCTCAAAATTTAATAACTGGAAGGACAGAAGGAAAACAGAGAACAAAGGACATTTATACTCAATCATGCAAATTGTCCACCTAATAGCCAACATGAATAGCCCAGTCTCAAACCACATTAAGCCAACAGATAAAAAGAGGCTCCAAAATGAAGAAATAGAAGATGTTCACTGACTCCTGCCTTTGCATATTTTGATCTTATCTCGTAAGTCTTAACTATCTCTCCATATGCCAGTAAGTGCCAAATATTTTCATCCTTTCTCTTCATTTTTCTCCCTTGCATTTATGTCTACTCCTTGATTGGTGTGAATTCCGTGTCTATCTTTTGCGCATATTAGGACTTGGAAGGATACTAGTAACGCCATTTGACTTCAATATCTACTGAATGCCATTATTTACGCAATGCATGGGTCCAGCAATTAAATTGCTGTTCGAGTACTTGTTTGGATTACCATTGAGACAATGCAGCACACTTTTCAAAGTAAGATCTATGGTGAAAATCATTTCATGCATGCTCATGATGCACATTCGGTGGAAGCGAAAGAAGTGAATAATTTTTGCTTTCAAGAAACGGAGTTTGGAAGTAATACAAATAGGCCTTAAGTGGATCACAAGTTCAAAGAGTGGAATCAACCTATTACAAATGCAAGATGATACTGTATACAGTATAGAGTGTGCTAAACTTTTGCTGTTCCACTACAAAGCCATGTATAAGCTTTTAAACTAGTCCTCAAAATTATATGAAATGAATATCTGATTTTATTAAACAATATTTACTTTAGTTTTTTTTTTTTAACATAAAATGCAGTAAAAAATAAAATTAATTAATTAAAATGAATGGGTTTTTTAAAAAAATAAAAACTCAACTTTTCCTAAAAATTCTAAAGATTGAAATATCTAACTCATTTAATTTTAAAGACTAACTTGAGAGTTTATTAATTTTTTTATGATTATAACTGGCGGTAACTGTACAAGGAAAAGAGAAAGAGGGAGACAACCGCCTATACCAATGCTTAGCCACAGAGAAAAGTATAAAACAGACTTTCTTCAGAGAATCTTAGTTGATTAGATGGTCCTTGTGAATGTGATAAAAGGGACGTAGAGCTGGCTACAAGCACAAAGTTTTATACTATTACTAAATTTTCATTTGAAATGCTCTACTCCACTAATTATTTTCATGCGTCACCGCCAAGGAAGTAACTAGAATCGTAACTTTAGCTGAACAAAAAAGTTTGAATGTCTTGTGATATATAACACTAACACCAAACTGCTTCCCCTGCTATAACTGTATTGGAGCTTTCCAGTGATGCGAACACATAACTGATGTGCACCAACAAAATACAGAATTAACATACAAAACAATCGTTAAAGTCATAATCATTGAATGATGTACACTTATATTGTCTCTATATTATTATAAAACTTTAATTTTAGTATCTTAATTTTTTAGTTTTAATTTAATACTTTTAATTCTTAATAATGATACATTTAACAAATTGTCATGTATTTTTTTTATTATATTACATTAATAAGAAGAAGCAAAAATGACGAATGTATAAAATTTTAAATTAAAATCTTGTAAAAAATATAAAAGCTTAAAACGTATGTAAGATATTTTATGATATTACCAATTTTACTCTAATTTTGGATCCATAAAGATATTTTTCTTATTTTTTAATATGTGAAAAATGATAATACATTTCACTTTTAACTGTGTCAGATTGAAATTTCCATAAAGTAAAAATTGTGAATTGCTTGGTGGTATAGTAGTGTGAGATGAGTTATTCATATCACACAACTTGCGAGATATAAATCTATATATTACAACGAAGCAGGGTTCCCTCTCTCATTCTCTATCTTACTTGGCTCCATTTCAGAATTTCTCTGTCTTACTTGGCATGAAACCAATAGTGTATACAAAGTCGGCATCATAAGGTAGCATGGAGTTTGCATGTGTCACCATGTCAATTGATTAATCTCACACAAGTATGAATCCAAAGCCCAAATCCCAAATACCAACACCCCACCATAATTGAGCACCTTCACATGAACAACCAACCCCACAACTCATCAAAATCCTCAACCACAGTTCATCTCCTCTACCCTCATTTTCCATTTTACAACAATTTTAGCATTGACGCCTACCTCAAACCCAAGCATGTGGCGACAAATTGCACCGAAACAAGTCCCCACACCACTATTTCTATTATCTCTGTTTCCTTAACTCACTCTGTTTTTGCTCCAAATGACTCTGTTTTCCCCATTAGGCTTCACTTCCAAGCACTATCCCACCAATGCTTCCACCCTAAGAAAGCCAAAAACTTCTCATACCCAATTGCAAGAAACCCATTTTCCTAATAACCATTTTGAAGCAAATGCTATAAGAATCACCATCACCAACCATATTCTCTCCACACACATTCTCTCTCTGTCACTCACCCCTGAATACATAGATGACTGATGCAAATGTTGCTTCATTTGAAGCATTTCTCCAAGGGTGGATGGTGCGCCAAAGAGACCACCTTAATGAGCTTATCTCAGCTCAGCAACACCTTGAGGAGCATCAAGATGCTGAGATAAGACAATTGATCAACAGGGTCCTCTGCCACTATGGTCAATACTATGAAGAAAAATCAAGGATTGCCCACCAAAATATTCTGCTTGTTTTCTCACCTACATGGTTCAGTTCATTGGAAAGAACGTTTTTTTGGGTGGGGGGGTTCAAGCCTGGAATGGCATTTGAGGTTGTGAACACAGCTCTGGAGGACTTGTCAGAAGAGCAGAGGCAGAGGTTGAGACAGCTCAACAATGAGACAAAGGTGAAAGAGAGAGCCCTCAATGATGAGTTGGCTAAGCTTCATGAGAGTTTTGCAGCTCCACCGCTTGTAGACATGGCTAGAAACTATGGAAGGGTGTGTTTAAGTAGGTCCTTCATGGCAGAAGATGATGCAGTACTACCAAGCTCTTTTAAGGAGACACTGGAGAGACTGGTGACAAATGCAGATGCTTTGAGGAGAAACACAGCATTGAAAGTTGTGCAGATTCTGAGACCAGCTCAGATTGTCACAGTCTTGATTGCTGTGGCTGAGCTTCAGCTCAGGATCAGGTCTTGGGGTTTGGATAAAGATGCTGAAAGTGGAGGCCAGGGTGAATAATAATCATGGGAATCTAAAGGCTTTTTATGTAAGGTGGTTTTCGTTTGTCTTTTTTGGGAACTGATTTGAGTTATGGTATACATAGATAGGCCTTCGCCTTGACGACGATGGATGATGGTGTGAGTTGGGCAATGTTCATATTCAGGATTTGATGGTAAGGTTGTTGATTGTGTGCCAGTAATTTTATCTCCACTTGAAGTTTCTTTGATGAGCATGTTGAGCATTGCTGAACAAGATCAAGCCATGCAATGCATGCTTTTATTTATCTATAGATAATGCAATGCATGCTCTTATCACTCTTAGTAGACCACTACCTGTGAGATAGAGGCAAGCACCCCATGATATCCATTCAAGCAGCTACCTCAGATCTCAATTGGTTGCTATATTAGATACCTAAGAATTATTTTTTGTTTTCTTTTGTGATATATGTTTATGAGTGAAGAGAACTTGGATGTACAAGAATGTGGAACCTTAAAATCACTATTTCAATATCCCAAGCACTTTGCCATTGCATCAAAGAAATTTCTCCCTATGGGTTCTTTTTGGTCCTTACCAAAACACACACAAACGGTTCATTCACACAGCAAGAACAGGAGAATGCCTAATGCTAAAGCAGCAGTTTCAAACATTCAGAATATACAAGTTATCCAAAGTGGAAAACAGGTAATCCAACAAAGAAAAAGTGTGCATGTGGACTAGAAGATTATCCAAAGATCATTATTTCATTTCACTGTCTTGTTATCTACGCCAACATTTGTATAATTATTGAATGCTTCGGGATTATTACTTAATTATAATATAAACACATAAACCATTCGAGTCTTTATAGGTTATAGAGAAACAAATTTTACACTTTCACATTCTGCTTCTTTGAGTAACCGCCTTAAAGCTGGCAAAACCAGTAACTTCCCTGCCTGTGACCAAGGTGTTGATGTCATACGTGCCTTCGTAGGTATAGATAGGTTCCAAGTCACAGAATGCCTGCAAATTAGATAAGAAAAGCAGAAAACATGAGAGAAAACAAAATTGCCCAAACTGAGCTCAATTTATGTATCAATATCAACAACAAGAAAAAGGGTGTTAATCGGGTGTCTAGTAATAATTAAACATATTTTTTGTACATAGTAACAATAATAATAATTATATTCGGCATGTTCATATTTTAATTTAGTTATAAACTACCAAAAGCCTTCACTAAAAAATCAAGTAAAGCAACAAGGACCAGTAGATGCATGATGTCATGACATAATTGAGGATTTGGGCAGCCATCTGCATGAGATCATGATCTAAATCTTAATAATTATATGGTGTCAAAAAATCAATGAAACATTAATATGTACAATTGGCCTTCCATTTCCATCTCCATCCAAAATCTCCAATTATCGTGATAGATTTCATGTTTAGCTGGGTCTATATTTTATTAGAAGTAAGGGTACACATCATCAACATCCTTCACTAATTGTAACAACATTCATTTTTCGGCCTGGGAATTTTATATTTTTGGGTGAATCCCTTGTAAATATAATATGTGCTAAAAACAACAATTTAAAAATTATCCCATTTCAATCTAGACCAGATCGGAAGATCAACAAAATAAATCTTAAATAAGGATATAGGCATGAGAACCTTTGCCACTAGAAAATCACCCAAAATTCCGTTGCCACCAAGCAATTCTCGCCCCAAGGCAGCTGTTTCTCTTGCCCTTAAGGTGATCCATGACTGAAAAATTATTGACAATTTATTTTACAATCAGTTACTTACAACAATCAATAATAATAATAACAAATTAGCCTACATAAAGCATTTATTACTTGGTGAGATTATTTTTTGTTTATTTTATGAATAGGTTAGGAAATAACCTTCCCCAAGCTAGCATGACCATGAGTCAGTTTACCAGTCTCATACAACTTGCACAAGCGCCAACCAACAAGAACCATTGCTTGAACATTGCTGAGCATTTGAACAAGTTTCTGTTGACTTATTTGAAAAGCTGCTAATGGTGCTCCAAACTGTTTCCTCTCTTTTAGATACCTTTTAATCACACACAATTCAGAAAGATTTGCAGTGAAAGCTTACACTGAAAGTATATTACTAGCATGTAATTTAAGAATACCTATGACACATATCATAGATGCCCATTGATATACCAATAGGTTGCCAAGCAACCATTACACGCGAAACAGCAAGTACCTGTTTTGAGATGACTAAAACAAATAAGGAACATGTACATTATAGAGTATAGACAGAAAGAAGTTATAGCAAACTTAATTTATCTCTGACCAGTCTGATGTACATCACAAAAATCAAACCATCCATATAATCTCTCTCCAACACTTCAAATCAGAGCAAGAATTTGAGTAGGAAGAGAATAATAGACTAAGTGCATGTTTCGTTGGAGATTAATTCTAAGAAATATTCACTAATTTTTCACAATCTCTTTCAAAAAGCTGGCAAGATTAAGCAGTAATTTCTTCAAAATAAGTAAAACTAAAACATACTAACATACACTAAAGCAAAGTGAAGGAGAAAAAAATTAGACTGTTCTGGTTTTCAAAAGCAAAACACGACAATATTTACTTGAAAATGTTACCGTAAAGGAAGATCACGTAAATGTAACATGCATTAAAGTGATATATTAAACAAGATGGAACAGCATTTGCTTTAATGCATTGGTAACAAATGGGTAGCCGTAGAACGAGACAAATGCTGATCTCTCATAACCTAAGCATGCAGATTAGTACATAGGCACAGCACAGCAGCAGGCCCTGAAAGCACACAGGAACCAAGATTGACAAATGCTCTACTCCAATAAAAGGATCCTATGCAATGACATGATCACCGAAGAGGATTTTAATCATTGAAATTAATAATTTTTATTTAAAAAATAATAAATATAATAATGGATGGTTATGATTGAAACTGGATTTGGTGCAGTGAAAAACTGACTGTAGAAGATGTAAATCCACTTCATCAGGTGATAGAAGTTATATAAGCAACCAAGACTTATGGCACCATTTATTTATCATTTGAAATGAAAAGATTAAATTTCATTATTGAAAGAATAGAAGAGGAAAGAACCATACTAATTTTACCTTGTTTGTGTCCTGAAAGGAATTGACTCCTGCTATTCTGTCATCATCAGGGACAAAAACTTTCCTCAAAACTATGTCTCCATTTTGTACGATCCTAAGTCCAATTTTATTCTCTATTTTTGTGACTGTTAAACCAGGCGCATCCTTTTTAACAATATATCTGAAATGATAGGTGGAAAAAAGTGTAAACAAATAGAGTACTTGTGAAACAGAACACGAGCAGCAAGAAAATATAAAACATGAGAAAATATATATGCGAAAAACAATCTAAAATTTTAAATGTCTCAACATAATGTTTTCTAGCCTATATTCTTCACTTTTGTGTTATGTCAATGATGTTAACCTTTGCATTCATTCCCTTTCTATTTTCTTTCCGAGTATGAGACAGTCAATGAAATTTATGGATGTTTGGATCTCCACGGACCTTAGATCAGATGGAATGCTAATAGTTCACATATAGGCATCTTATATATAAGTATTTAACAGTAACAGCACTAAGTACACATATTGCTTACCCATTTATTTGATTAGTTGTGGTATTCCTAGCAAAGATAACCAACACATCAGCAAATGTACTGTTTCCTATCCACCGCTTTTGGCCCTCAAGGATCCAACCACCTTCCACCTGATCTTTTTAATGTAAAGCAAGAATACATTATTGAACAATGGAACAATTGAGCAGAGTGAAAATAAGTAAAAAAGAAGCAAAATGCTAATTGCTACAAAAGCAAATGGTAGATAGGAGACATAAGGCACAGAACCTTTGTTGCTGTGGTCTTCAAACCACTGGCATCACTTCCATAGTCAGGTTCAGTCAAAGCCTAAGGCAAGGAAAATAACCTCTTTGAGAAGTGGAACTTCAGCAAAATGATAAAAGCCCTTCAAATCTAAGGAAGGCAATTTACCCAACATGCTATAGTTTGTAGCTGAGCCAAAGAAGGGAGATACTTTTGCTTCTGAGCTTCAGAGCCACATAAAGCTATACTTGATGACCAATAAAAAATATAAAATATCAAGAACTATGAATAACTACTAGCAAAACGATTACCATTCAGATATTCATTATTAACAATAAAAGGATTACCAATAGTGAGCATTGCCAAAGATGAATGGACCAAAATGAAAGTTGAACAGCTAGCATCAACTCTAGCAACTTCTGCTGCAGCAACAGCATTTGCAGTTATAGAAAGACCAGGACAACCATAACCCTGAAAATCAGTGAGTGCTAGCTAAGAACTTCATTTGCAATGCCTTACGCCTAACTAAAACAAAATTTAAGGGAAATATGTAAATAGATAACCTTGATCGTGCCACCAGCAATACGCAATGCTGCAAGCTTTGGAATAACATGAAATGGGAATTCAGCCTTCTCCCAGTACTGCTAAAATGGTATCAGATTGGGTGTCAAGAGAATAAAAGAAAAAGATAACATCATTAGAGAATCTTTTCATTTTATATATACTAATCTTGTACCATTACAGATCAGACATCATATTTGATCATCTCAATGTACGATTACATAATCTTGTACATCAGATTGATCTTTCAATGTTAATTATATGAGTAAATATTCAATTTGTTTTCTGAAAAATCTTGTATTGCTTTGAACGGACACATTTTGGTATAAGGCTTAATTAAATGCTTATTCAATAAGCTCATTTTGTACCAGGGCTTATGTCATAAATTTGATCATGAAATTTATTAAAATAACCTAAAATGAGCTTGTGAAATTCACAAGTTATTTTTATGAGTTGTCTATAAACTCTTCCAAATACCTTCTAAGTATTTGATTGACAATACATCGTTGTCAACTTTTTACACCATGACTAGTGTTTCTATGTAAAATTAATTCTACTATAATCTAAAACAATTGAATTTGTAAGGATAAAAACCTTCAAGTATCAAAGCAACATAAGAACTTCAAAATCACATGCTTTTTTTATAAGTTGTCCATAAACTCTTCCAAATACCCTCTTAGTATTTGATTGACAATATATCAAAATAAACTTTTCACACCATGACTAGTGTTTCAATGTAAAATTAATTCTACCAAAATCTAAAACAATTGAATTTGTAAGGACAAAAACTTTCAAGGATCAAAGCAACATAAGAACTTCAAAATCACAAGCTATTTTTATAAGTTGTACATAAACTATTCCAAATACCCTCTTAGTATTTGATTGTCAATCTATGAAAATCACCTTTACACACCATGACTAGTGTTTCAATGTAAAATTAATTCTACTAAAATCTAAAATAATTGAATTTGTAAGGATAAAGCTTTCAAGGATCAAAGCAACATAAGAACTTCCATAAATCAAATTGTACATTTGTTCATATATTTATTGTTGGAGGATCAATATCCAATATTTCTTTATAAAAAAACCAATAAAAAAAAAGAAGAAAAGAAATGCCTGGGTCATTATGGGAGCAATTTCTTTCTCCATGCACTCTCTCACTTTGCTCCTAATGGCCTGCTCCTCCGGTGTCAATAAATCATCGAATTGAAAATAATCGGAAGCTGCACTTTCCAATTCAACACACGTCTAGTTAAAAAGACTACTACTTACTAATAATAATATAAGATGAAAATGAATCGATTAAAAATTGAATGAGTTTCTAACAAGCTAAATATGTGTGATAAATATGAATGTCAATTATTTACCACAAGGAGGAAAAATGGATGCTGGAGTGGCTTGGGGAAATGCAACAGAAACATCGAGTGCTGGTAAATGAAAATACGAAGGCATTTTGGTATTGCTATTATCTGTGACGAGAGAATCAAAGGTTAGAAATAAAAGTGTAACAACATTTTCAAATCATATGACAAAATCGAATTATTTATTTGATGAATCTGAAAATGAAACTCAAAAATAAAATTGGATATTAGGAAGTGACCTTGAATATGACGAGTCATGGTGGAAGCGAAATGGTAAACCCTGAAGTTTGGAGGTAGAATCTCAAGTACTTCAGTTTTCAGTTTTGATGTGTGAAGAAATCAAATCAAAGTAAGAAGTGGAAACATGAACGCAACCCAAAGTTGTATCTATCTTTCCCAGGTCATCATTTCAGTTTTTTCTTACACCAAGATATGACAGATTAATAATTTTTTTTAATTTAACTCCAATTTTTTGTCCTTTTAATTTGGTAGAAGTGTGATTTTTTTTTAATACATTTTATAGGTTTGAATTGAAATTAATTTTCACTCTAAATTTACGTCTGATTAAATATAATAAATTATAATTTATGCATTGTATTGAAAAAATTATACTAAAAATTATTTTAAAGAAAAAAAAGTAAATATAAGTCACATAAATTTAAAATAAATTTAATTCTATAAAATCAAATTAAATAAACTCAAATTTTAAAAATATTCATCTAAATACACTTTAATTATTTTACTAAAATTCTTAATGAATTAAAATATTTTAAACTTTTTTTTTTCACAAAATACACTATTTCAAATATCTAAATTCAATCATTAAAATATCAAGAAATTTCCTTCTTAAAATTCTAATCTCATATTGAAAAATTATTCATTCTTTTTACTTTTAAGCATTTAAAATTATCTAGCACGATAAATTTAATATAAATTTTATAAATATTTAATAATAATAATAATAATATGACAATTTTAAATATAATAAATTTATTGATGAAAAATTACCTAAAATTTTTAATAATTTGAACATAAAAAATAATTTTTAACTTGTGCAATGTTGCACAATCTAAAAATATATTTAAATATATATAATACATTTTATTGAAAATTGTAATATTTAGTAGTAATAGTGCATTTAAATATATTGATATTTATAATTTTAATAAAAATTTATTACCTATAATTTTTTTATTCTGTACAATATTGCACATTTTTTAAAAAAAATAAAAAATACAAAATTAGATAAATTTGCAAAAACAATTTTAGTATAAAAAATGTACAACATTCTGATCTTGAAGACTTGTACCTGCTTGAAAACAATGACAGATATTTATATACAAACAATATAATTGATCTTGTCAGGTTGTTGTACATTATGCATTTTTGGAAAGATAGCGACAGATAAGTCCCAACAATAATAGATGATGATAAACAGATAAAGTTACATTAAAAACATATTCTAAAATTTTTTTATATAATCATTTTTAACCTGAAAATGGAGATGCGGGGTATCGATCCCCGTACCTCTCGCATGCTAAGCAAGCGCTCTACCATCTGAGCTACATCCCCTTTATTTTTCATGAATAAAATTAAATAATTAATTCTTATTCTTTGTCAAATAACTATTCCATTGACTATACGAGCTAAATAAAAAAAAATGATTTTTTTGATGGAAACGAACAAGAAAAATACTAAGCATTGGAATGATCAAGTCCAACAAAGCAAATTGTGAAAGACAACCTGCGCCAACAGCAACATAGGCCACCATGTTTGCGAAGAGGTTGTTGCACAAGGCTGTGCTGCACCATTCCAATGTAAACAAAGAACAAAAAAACAGAATATTTCTTTGTTTTTGCTATCTGGGTTTCTTCTTTATTTTTTGATTTTTGTTCTGATTTTGGGGTTGTTTTTTTGGTCAGCACAAGTTGCAGTATGGTAGTTTGCAAGCAAGTGAGTTGAATCCCAGAATTGTGATTCACTATGGCATTCCATCTACTGCTGCACTTCTCGCCTTTGACCCCATTCAGCGACTTTTGGCTATTGGGACTTTGTTAGTTCATCCACTCTCTCTCTCTCTCGTGATTTATTGTTATTATTATTATTGATAAATTGGATTATAATACAACACCTGTGAGCTACAATAATGTTGCTCATTTTTCATTTATACTATAGTTGTTTGGAAATTGCATCAAAGGAAAATGGATTCAACAATATGGAAAATTTTTTAATATTGGGTTATTCTAATTATCTGTCATAAGTAATTTAAATTTGTTTTTTTTGTTATTTGCATTCGTTCAATTCTGAAGAGGCTTTATTTTTATTAGTGTGTATGGGAGGGTTTCTATTGCCCAAATATTTTAACAGTACTGGCATTTATTATGGTTCTTTAAGTTAAAAACACGCATTTCATAATTATAAGAAACGGCCATTCTGTTAAGTCTATTTGACATAATTCTTGTGCATGATTATAATAAGCAGCAAATGTAGGGATGACATAAACCTTTAACTACCATAATGGATAATGCATGATTCTTCAAATGTAGTGGTGACTGGACATGAGGCCTATACAATGATATATAGTCAGCAAATGGATGTCATTATCGGATGTGAGTGGTTAAGTGCTTACATTGCATAGCTTAATGGCAGGGATGGGAGACTTAAGGTAATTGGTGGTGATAATATAGAAGGACTTCTGCTTTCTCCTAAGCAATTGCCATATAAGTACTTGGAGGTAGGACACATTGGACTTCTCAAATAAACAGTTAGATATTGTCAGATTTTCTATGATGCAAAATTATCAAAATTTTAGCTATCTAAGCTTGTGAGTTGTGCTAATTGGTCCTATGTGAGTGGCATATTCATGTTTGGATTCTTTTGGAACTTGTAGTTCCTGCAAAACCAGGGGCATTTGGTTGGTGTCTTAAATGACAATGATATCCAGGTAAATTTCTTTTATTACATTTTACTTTTACTTTCTGTTCGTGTTAATGCTGTTTTAACAATTGCACTGCTGAGTGATTATTGATTGGTAAAATTTGACATCATTTGCTGCTGCCTCTCTTGCTCTCTTACCCCACAAAATAGCTTATATATTGCAGTTTTCATGAGTCGCTTAACTTAAACATATTTTTTATATCTGAGTTGTGTGGTTGATTTTCTGGCTTCTTTTTTTCCCATTCATCATGAATTGTTGAATGGATGGTGATATTTGTGATAGTTTATGAATGAGCGGTTTAGCATGTCAGGTTTGGTGTATAGCAGTAAGGTGATTGACTTCAATTTCTTTGCTTACTATAAGTGATATGTTTAGAATGTTGGCTAAGTGGAGCCCATTTTTAGTTAGTTTTTCTTTTAACCATTTTGGCAGGTTTGGAATCTTGAGAACCGGAGCCTTGTTTGTTCTTTACAATGGGAGTCCAATATTACTGCTTTTTCTGTAATCAGCGGCTCACATTTCATGTAAGTGAAATATGTAAATTCTGTAAATCTGTATATTTTTCCGCTTGTTGGTAGTAGTAGCTAGCTGCAAATAGTTGTGATTACGTAGCACTTGATTGATAACATTACTAATCTGTAATAATATGCAGTTATGTTGGGGATGAGCATGGCTTATTTTCTGTGATAAAGTTTGAAGCTGAGGAAGGACAACTTTTGCAGTCATCATATAATTTGTCTGCAAAATTTCTAAGGGGTATTTTGTTTTTTGGTCTTTTGTTTTGATGATTGATAAATAATACATATATTACATCCTCTGAACTCATACTTGCAATCTGTCAATCTTCTGTGTTAATCATAAATTCTTGAATGTTCTCTTTGATAGGAACTGAAAATCACTGCTTATTATTTATACAACAAAAAGGGAGCTTAGCTCCTTACAACTGAGAAAAGTGATCATCTAGGAATGCACCAAAACAGTAGCAAAATAGATGAAAACAATAACATTACCTTACCCCTAGAGACTTCAATATGCAATCTATGCCCAGGCCAACAGGATGGTTGGGTGCAGTCTGCATCACATTTCTTCCTCTTTCATTGCTCTCACTATGGGTCCCCTTATTCTCCTACTGTAGACTTATTTCAGTACCTAACACTCTTATTTTCCAAATGCAAATTATTTTGGGCTCCTTGGAAACAGTAATTTTGTGCAGTAGTAAGATAAATAATGCCGAGTCCTGATACAATTATACATCTTATGTAACCACTATGTCCAAATGTCTTCTTCAGATGGTTCATCATACCTCTATGCTTCAGCATTTAAACTTACTTGGTTTTCTTTGCTTTAAGAATTGCTCACTGTCATTGTTTTATTTAATAGAAGCTGCAGGCTTTCCAGATTCTAGCAACCTGCCAATTGTTGGAATTCTTTTGCAACCTTTTTCTTCTGGGAACAGGCAAGATATAAGTAGTTCATACAGCATTTTAGCTTTACTTTTGTGTCTGTACATTTGGAAATTGGAATTCTTAATTGAGAGATACTTATCGATTTACCAAAGCAACGCCAATTGAAAAATAGAATTTTGTAAAATTAGATCTCCAGTACAACTTCTTAGTTTAACATTAATATTTTTAATTTTTTTCCCCACATCTTTATCAAATAAATTTTCAAAATAAATTTCAAATATTTGATGAAATTGCTGAGCCAACCTCGAAAGTAGTCTGTGTAATTTGTCAAGGGCCATATATTCTTCTTATAAATAGCACTGCATTATTTTCATGAGTGGCCTGTATTTTCTCTCGTATTTGTATCTAAATCATTGAACTCTATGATTGAAATGATGGATCATCATATTTCAAGCCCCCAAATGTTTCCATCCATATTTGACATGGTTCTGTCTCTATCTATATGAGTTGGGGTTGTTTACTTGCAGTCGTGAAGTGTCAATTATATTACATCATTTTTATATCTTCCATATAGTAGCATAATTCCATACACTTGTCTGAGATATGATATACATAGTATTTGATGAAAAATGAATTCTGTTATTTTGTTATATATATTTGCAGACTGTTGATTGCATTTGAGGATGGGCTGCTAATTCTTTGGGATGTTTCTGAAGCTAAAATTGTGTTCCTTGGTGGTGGGAGGGATCTCCAATTGAAGGATGAAGATGGTAATTCTCCTACGGAAATGGGTGCCAATCTTCCAGATGATATTATAGAACAAAATTTGGGAGACAAAGAGATTAGTGCTCTTTGTTGGGCATCTTCCACTGGGTCCATTCTTGCTGTGGGATACTTAGATGGAGATATCCTTCTCTGGAACTTGTCATCTGCAGCACCTTCTAAAGGTCATCAGATTTCTTCTAAAAATGTTGTTAAGCTACAACTTTCAACTGCAGTAAGAAGACTACCGGTCATTGTTTTACAATGGTCCAACAGCTATAAATCCCAAAGTGATTGTGCTGGACAGTTGTTTGTCTATGGTGGTGATGAAATTGGGTCTGAAGAAGTTTTGACTGTGAGTTATTTATGTCTGTTTACCATTTCATTTTAAATTGATTTTATTGGCAGTTCCTTCTGATTTCTAATAAATTATACAGGTTACTCAATTATGGGATACATTCAAAACTGGTTCAGTGTCATAATTGAAACATTCTCGTATGTTTGATTATAACTTAAATATGTGATACATTCAAAATTGGTCCAAAGCTATAATTCAACCATTCTTATATTTTTCATTATTCCTAAAATCCCAAATGTATTAAAGAAATATTTTACTTAGACTTTGCCTGAAACATAGAAGAAAATGGAAAATTCCTTATGATGATTTTGGTCTGGTTGAGCACCATCCTGGCTTTATAGACATTAAAAAATATTGATATTTAATGCAGGCTTAATCTCTGATTAATAAATTCAGGATTTGCCTATGTTTTCATTATTTTCTTCCCATAACTTTAGTAAGTTTAAATTGTAAAGTTTAAGCCATGGTCGAATTGAAAAGTTGTGATGTGGACTTAACTGTAGGGATATCTGGGAACTTGTTACTGTTGATTTGATGGGTTGTATTTATACTTGTTAAAATGTTTTTTTAGCATGTCTGTATTGGTCCCCTAAACTTTAAAGCATCTCTTCATTACAGGTTTTAACTCTTGAATGGTCATCTGGGATGGAGTCAGTAAAATGCATTAGTCGTGCAGACCTTACACTTAATGGCTCTTTTGCAGACTTGATTTTGCTGCCAAGTCCTGGAGCAATGGGATTGAGCAGCAAAGATGAACTTTTTGTATTGACAAGCCCTGGACAGCTACATTTCTATGATAATGATAGCTTGTCCACATTAACATCTCAGCAGAAGAGGACTCCATCTGTGTCTGCTCTGGAGTTTCCAGTACTAGTACCAATGGCTGATCCATCTCCGACTGTTGCAAAACTTATCAGGTTGCCCAATGAGTCAAATTCATCAAAAATTCTAACTGAGGTAACTTGTTTGTCTGCCTGTAGTTTCTGCCAAACCTGGCAGCTAATCTGTGTTTAATTTATGGTTTTTCATCCACTTTTTTTCATTTATCTTAGGTAGCCTCAGTTCTGAGAACTGTCTCAAGACCTGGATCAGCTACTCGTTCAAATTGGCCCTTGACTGGGGGTGTTCCCAGTCAGTTGAGCACAGTTAAAGGTGCTGAGGTTAAGAGTGTTTATTTTGTGGGTTATTCTAATGGCTCTGTCCTTGTATGTGATGCCACACATCCAGTCTTATCGTATATTTGCTATGTAGAGGGAGAGGTAAGCATTCCACAGCTATTTTGTCCTAAAATAAATATAAAGAAAAATAATATCCTTACATTTCCACATGTAAATGTTAATTTTTTTTCCTCCCAAATCTCCTGTGCATTTGGTAGGTGAATGGTATAAAAGTGGCTGGTTCTGATGCTCAAGTGACAACATTGGACTTCTGCCATGTTTCCTTACTTTTCGCTATGGGCAATGAATGTGGTCTTGTCAGATATCTTTCTTAATAGCGTATCCTATCTGACAGAATGCAATATTTGTTCTGTACTTAATTCCTTTGTTGTGATGACTTTGATAGGTTCGCATTTATGACCTCAAAGAGCACTCTGGTGGGACAAATTTCCATTTTGTCACAGAAACAAAAAGTGAAGGTGATCCATAGATTTCTGTCATCATCACGGAAGACTACCTTCTCAATTTTATTTTTTTCCCCCATATCTGCCGCCTGTGTCCCAAAATACTATATTTTTGCAGAAAAAAGAAAATGTTACCTCTTGACTAATGTTGTTAAACACATGGCAGTCCATGATGCTCCACAAGGAAAAGGACCTCATTGTAGTGCCGTCTTCTGTCTTCTGGAGTCTCCAGTACAAGCATTATCATTTGCAAATTCTGGAACAAAACTTGCTATTGGATTTTTAGGTGGTCATGTGGGTATCATCTGATTCGTTAATTCACATTTCCTGTCTTGTTACTTATTTGATGATAAGTAGAAGTGTCAAATCCCTCAATTGATATAAATCTTGGATATATTGCTTCTTTCCAGGTTGCAGTGTGTAATATGACTTCATTGTCAGTTTTGTTCTTGATTGATGGTGTACCAAGCTCTAGCTCTCCAATTACTTCAATGGTTTGGAAACATGAAGCATGTTTTCAAGATGCTGTGAATAGTTTAAAGCAATCAGAAACACCATCAGGCCACTCTCTTGAAGAAACACTATTTGTCTTATCCCGGGATGGAAAAATTAATGTAGTTGATGGTGATAGTGGTAAAATGATCTCTAGTCGGGCATTACACGTGAAGGAATCAAGTGCAATTTCAATGTATGTTATAGGCAAGTACAAGTTTCATCAAGAACAAAGCATATTTTCAGTTTAATTGCACTTCGCATATAATTGGAAATTCTAAGAGATTTTTGTACCTCAGAGGATAGCATCTCAACCTCTGAAGCATCAAATGACAAGCAGCAGGAAGAACCCTTGAAGAATTCTGATGATGCTAGCCCAGATGAGGAGGAAGAACCGTTATCAACTAGGTTAAATTCATCTGAGGCTGAAATTTCCTCCTCAGAAGCCTCACACTCTGGAGATTTACGATTGGATCCACTTGTTCTACTATGCTGTGAGAATTCATTGCGCTTGTTCTCTGCAAAATCTATTATACAGGTTCTTTAGTCCTTTATTACTTCATATTTGCATTCACATCATAAGTCTGTTACAAATGAATTTGATATAAACGATATATTCTTTACAGGGAAATAAGAAACCGATCCGAAAAGTGAAACATTCTAAATCTTGCTATTGGACTACAATTTTTAAGAAAGATGACAATGTTTACGGGCTTCTATCATTGCTTCAGACTGGAACATTTGAAATCAGGTGAAAGTGCCAGTGTTTTGTTCTTTTTTTCATAAGGGGTGGGGGTGTATTTTCAATAAGACAACATTGATTGCAAATTAAATTTGCCTTGCAGTACTAAATTCTTTGTCTTGTCCGTTATTTTGCTTGTGGCTTTGAACAGGTCTTTACCAGATTTGGAATTGGTCGCAGAAAGCTCTTTATTGTCAATTTTAAGATGGAATTATAAAGTGAATATGAATAAAACCATGTGTTCTGATGATTATGGACAGATAGCGCTGGTATAATACTATCTAGAGTTGTCAGAAATTCCATTTCTGTTTTTGCTCCTTTTTTTTTTCTTCATTTTTTGGGATAATGCAAAAAATATTTGAGTATTCTGGCCAAAAGCATTAAGTCAAATTCAAAATCTGCAACATTGCTCTTCAAAGCACCCATCTTATGTTGTTAACTTACAGGCTAATGGTTCTGAATTGGCATTCATCTCATTACTAGCTGGCGAAAATGAATTCAGGTATCTTTTTTATCCTTGTAATGAAGAGATAACAGTGTGGACTTCAGGCAAAAATGTAGAAATAAGGAAGAAAATTTTGAATGTCAATTCTATTCTGTTTTAGGAGTCTGGAGCATTTGCCTTCTCTTCACGACAAAGTTCTTGCTGCCGCTGCCGACACTGCCTTTAGATTCTCTTCAAATCAGAAGAAAAAACAGGTTTGAGTTTGTCTGATTTTTCTTCTTTTAGATCCTAATGTTCCCACCATTAAAATGTTTTGTTAACCATTTTTGCACAGGCCACTGTACCAGGGATTCTAGGTGGTATTGTAAAAGGATTTAAAGGAGGAAAAGCTTCTCAAACTGATTTGGCTAAAATTCCAACCTCCAATTTTGATCATTTGGAAGACATTTTCTTTAAGCCCCTCTTGCCGGATTCCGTTCCAACAGTGGCAGTCGCAGGTCATAAAGAAGTGGAGCTTGATATAGGTTTACATTATACTTTTCTTCATTTTTTTCCTTTTAAATTTTGTTGTTTATTTATTTTATATTTTTATGATTTGAATAATTAAATGAAACCTCAAAACATGCTAATATTTCGTTACAGATGACATTGAAATAGATGATGAGCCAATAATTAAGCCTTCTACTTCATCTTCTACTTCATCTCCTGATATTAAAAACAAACAGAAAGGTAAATCACTTTCAAAACATGTATCATATTTTAACTACATCGATTGGTGACAGTTTCTTCCTTTTGCCTGCAGATAAGTTACGAGATAGGGAGAAATTATTTGAAGGTGGAACCAATAATGATGATATAAAGCCTAGAGTTAGAACACCTGAAGAAATTATGGCTACTTATAGAAAAACGGGGGTAATGCCAAGTTGTACATATTTTGTCTTTTAATGCTTTATTAATTTCAATGAGTTAAATATGTTAACCAATGTCTGCTTTCAGGATGCTTCTTCTGTTGCTGCCCATGCAAGAAACAAGCTTATGGAGAGGCAGGAAAAATTGGAGGTACAATTTTTTCTGATCTCATCATGCCAACTTACATAACTTCTATATTAACATTTGGTTGCTGTTAATTCTTCAAAACAAACATGGAAGCACCTTCTTTAGTGTAAATATGTTTCTGCTTCTTGAAAGTATGACCTGTTTTTGGGTTTTTCTTTATAGAAATTTTATTCATTTCTAGTCTTTATATTTAACAAATCATACATTTTTTTTTGTAAGAAGAAAATGTGGCTTTGACTAAAAGCAGATATTGTTTTGTAATTTTTAAGGACTAAAAATGAATAAATTTTTATAAGGACCAAAAACAAAAAGGGTCATAGTTTCAGGGACTAAATATATTCATGTCCACCCTTTTTCAAATTACAGCCCTCAGTACTTTGACATGGAAGTTGCCGTTTGACTTGTTTTTTCAACTATTGTTGTTAATTATATAAGAAGCTTTGTTCATACCCAAGTCTTTATTCTTTAGTAATGACACATAAGGTTATAAATTTCTTACTTTGAAAGTCTCAATATTTTAATTCATAAATGCTACTAACATTTACTTCTCCATTTGATTCAGAGAATCAGCCAACGTACTGCAGAACTGCAAAGTGGAGCTGAAGATTTTTCATCATTAGCGAATGAGCTTGTCAAGACCATGGAAAGGAGGAAATGGTGGCAAATATAGTTAAAAAAAAAAAAACATTGTTTGCTCGTAAGATTACTTATATATGTTGTCTTGTATATTATATATTTGTGGATGATGGCGTTGTTTTTTCTTTCATTGCATAGAACTGACAAAAGGAAAATACAGAACATATGCAGATTGGCTTATATAAAATGCAAGCCAAAAAGTAATTAGTGATTCATTGTAATTAGTAGACTTATTTGTCATGTCAATTTCATATTAAATTTCTGATTTGAGATGTTTAAATAATATCGAGTTCATGCGTGTAAAAGTGGGAGCATAAAAAATATTGTCATATATGTTTGTTAAAAAAATATAAATGACTTAAATGTAGATAGCAGAAAATACTTTTTGTCTGCGTATCTAGTTGTACATATTGCATAATATTATAAATAGTCATTCTGGGTATTATCCATCACCTGGAGAATTTATAAACTTTCTATACCAAGAAATAGTAGAATGCTAATAAGTTGATTTGATAGTTTATTATCGATTTTTTGGCCTAAAAAAGGTAATATTTTTCAATAAAGTTAATTGATTAAGATTTAATCTTATATCTTAAGAGCTGTACATACACTTTTTGATACATACAGTTCATTGAAAATCATATAAACAAAAAGGAATTAATGTATCTATTTCAACCTCTTTTTTTTTTTTCATAATAGACTCTTTCGAATTTTTAACGAAAAAAATGTATGCAAAAATTTGTTTTAATTAGTAAAGCATGTTGTTATGATGAATGATTTGTTCAAATTAATTACTTGCCATGTTTTGATAAATAAAAAATTTTAAAATTGATATTTTAAAATCAATTAACTATAAAAATACAAAAAATGTATCCATCCTATTGTAACTTATTTCACAAAATTATGGATATTTTTAAATTTATCAAAGATAAACAAGATTTTATTTAATGTTTAATGATTAAATTTATAAATATTACAAATGGATCTTATTTATAAATTTTTTTTCTAATTATAAGAAATATTGACCTATTTTTATATACATTAATTACAATTTTTTACATTTTCTTTATTGTGAAATTTATGTTAATGAAATATATACTCATTTTTATTTATATCAGTGGATGAATTCATTCATTTAATATATAAGATGTTAATATAATAATTTAATATTATAAATATTTATAAAATAGAGTATAAATTTATAACATGTGATTACTTTTTATTAATTTTGATAAATTGGATATTATTTTTTATAAATAAGATTAGAAGTAGTACGTATTAATTCTCTTGATTTTTATTTTTTAAATTTTTTTTACCAACTTGATTTTCAAATACTTTAATTAACTTAATTTTAAGAGTAAATATGAAAATAAAATATTATAATAATTAAAAGAATTGAAAAAATTAAAAAAAGAAAATTTTGAAAGTAATAAAAGATATAGTTGAGAATTTAAAAACACAGAGGAAAAGGAAAAAATTGAAAAACTTATTTAAAAGATAATTTTAATATTGAACTAAACTCTTAACTTATTGAAAATTTTGAAAATAATAAATAATTGTAAATTTTAAAAATATATAAAAAATATTTGTTAAATGATAATAAATTAAAAGTGTCATGATAATTCTAACATATTATGAATATAACAATATTAAATATTAGAGGTCTCTAACTTTATTGTCTATAATAGCCTTACCTGAACATGATTATTTTCAATAAAAAATATCTGTGATATCAACTAAAAAATTAAAATATTAAAGAAAAAATAAACAATAAAAAAAATGTGTTAAATGCTCTTGCATTTTGAATTAGACAAAGGATATGTTTGTAAGAGATTTCTAACTATTAACAAATAATAAAAAAATACGTGGTATAAATTAAAAAAATTAGTTATAAATAAAACCTAGTTTAATATAAAAAAAATCATGAATCCAATAATAAATATTTAATATACTTTATTAAAAAATTATTTTAAAATGTTTTAAATAATTTTGTTTTCTTGATATTTAAAATTTTCTAATCAATCTTCTAAGAATACTGATTGGTATTTATGAAATTTCATCATTATAGTATCATGAAATAAGAAAATTGCAATGATTATACTAATATACCTTCCCTAAGAAAGTGGAGTGTAAATAGGCATTTAGTCATCTCCGACCAATATTTGTGAAATGTGAATATCAACAAAATAAACAAATCATAATAATCCCACGTGGGGCACATGGATGTCTCTCTAAAGAAAGCCCCACTCACGTTTTCATACCCAATATCATAATGCCACACCGACCCATGAATCAAGCAAATTTTAATTGAGTTTTATTAATCTTAATCTTTAGAGTTAAATTTATAAATAAAAAAATACATAATTATTATATTAAAATTATAAAAATATAATAAATACTTCTTTTTTAATAAAATTTTATTATTATTAATTACTTATCTTTATCCTTAAAATTAAGATTAACAAAATCAATTTTTTTTCATCTCTAAATCTGTTGACCTTTCACTTTGTGCCATCTAATCATAAAAATAAATAAATAATAACTTTTATAATACAATTTTATTATTTTTAATATATACTCTAAAACGTATGATTTTTATTAAAAGTTATAAAATTGAATATATTAATAATATTATATATTATTATTGTTATTATTATTTATTACTTTTTAATTATATATCTATAGAACAATTAAAAAGAAAAGCTGAATATTCCACTTCATTGGTAGGTCAAATACACGGCAAGAATTTAGAGGAATTCCACAAGTCTACACATGAGAATCATTAGAGTAAAAGTAAACACGGATTGGTTTGGTCTCTGAAATACTACACAAAACACACAACATAAAAAAAATATTGTGTCATGACTAAATTGCCCCTGCACGATCCACAAACACCTCCTCCTACATCTTGTATTTAAGTTCATTCAACGATTCTCAATGCCATTACTGAGCCACGGAGATACCCTCTTTCATCCTTCTTTTCACACCCTTTTTGCCCTTTATTCTTGAAAAGCTTAGAATAACGCTTCAGAATCTGAGAGAAATAAAGGGTCTAAATTCTGTGTGGTTGTTGTTGGAGGTTGGAACACAAGTCACAGACAAAGTGTTAATCTTAAAATTCACAAACAAGTGGTTTTTCTTTTTCTTTTTTTTTTTGGAATATTGTATGACCAAATTATTTAGTATTTTAGGACTGGATATTTTGCTTCTGTTGGCATCCTTTCTTTTTTCATTTTGGTTCTCATCTTTTGTGTTCTTCTTCGTCTCTCATCTGTCTCTGGATTTCCCTTTATTTGTTCCTGGAGACGCCAGGAACCTAACCCAACAACCCCTTGTCTAAAAGGCTTCATCTTTGTGTTCAATGGCAACTTGGGTTTTATCAGAATGTGGCTTAAAGCCTCTTGCTCCAATATTTCCTAGACCTAGAACTGGGGTTGTTTTGTCCTCGAAGGTTGGATTTTTGAACACAAACAAGGGAGTGGCAAATCGTAAGTTTCAGCCCAGAACCTGTTTGAGTTATGGCTTTAGAGAGAGAAATTGGGGGTTGCAAGTGAGTGCCCCTTTGAGGGTTGCGTCCATTGAAGAGGAGCAAAAGAGTGCTGGTGTGTTCAATGGTGCTAATGGTGTTCAACATGAAGAGGAAGTTCCAGAATTTGACCCTGGTGCTCCTCCACCTTTCAACTTGGCTGATATTAGAGCAGCTATTCCAAAGCATTGCTGGGTGAAGGACCCTTGGAAGTCAATGAGTTATGTAGTGAGGGATGTTATTGCTGTTTTTGGGTTGGCTGCTGCTGCTGCTTATCTCAACAATTGGTTGGTTTGGCCTTTGTATTGGGCTGCTCAAGGGACAATGTTTTGGGCTCTGTTTGTTCTTGGTCATGATTGGTAATAGCCAGTTTTTCTTTTTTTCACTTGTTCTAATTTGGATTTAGTTGTTTTGTTGGCTTTTTTGGGTGCAGAATTGGGTCTCAAAATTTAGTCTTGACTGGGTTTTGTTGTTTTGGATTTTTCAGTGGTCATGGGAGCTTTTCTAACAACCATAAGTTGAACAGTGTTGTTGGGCATTTGCTACATTCTTCAATTCTAGTACCATATCATGGATGGTATGCTAATGCTTCTGAATGAATAGTTGTTTTTTTTTCAATGCTTCATTATAGTTTTGGAGTCATGTTTGATATCTTACACAGGAGAATCAGCCATAGGACTCATCACCAAAATCATGGCCATGTTGAAAATGATGAATCTTGGCACCCGGTGAGATGATAATCACTGTTCTAGTTTTTAAGAGAGAAAATTTTCGTCCCCACGTTTTTTCCTCCTTAAGTAATCAAAGTTTCTAACATAATTATCGTATTGATAATTTTGCAGTTGCCTGAAAAATTATTCAGGAGCTTGGACAGTGTAACACGTATGTTAAGATTTACAGTGCCTTTTCCACTGCTTGCATATCCTGTGTACCTTGTAAGTTGTTGTGCCTACATGTTTTGACCATAATTTGAACATTAATTACTCCTAGTCTTGGAAGAAGAATTGACATGGTGGTTGTTGATGTTTGAATTCAGTGGGGCAGGAGTCCTGGGAAGACTGGTTCTCACTTTGACCCAAGCAGTGACTTGTTTGTTCCCAATGAAAGGAAAGATATTATTACTTCCACAGCTTCTTGGGCTGCTATGGTGGCATTGCTTGTTGGATTAGGATTTGTAATGGGTCCAATTCAATTGCTTAAACTTTATGGTGTTCCCTACATGGTAAGTTTCTTCTCTTTTTCCATTATTTCAATGTTTATTCTTTTTCAATCAAGAATGAAGTTCTTATTTGACTTTTCTTGGGATTAAAGGTATTCGTTATGTGGTTGGATTTGGTGACTTATTTGCACCACCATGGGCACGAAGACAAATTACCTTGGTACCGTGGAAAGGTACCCTTTTTCTTTTCCTATGATAAGGATTGATTTGCTTGTGTCATGATATATTTTTGTTATGTTAATATTTTCAAAATATGCTTAGTTACATCTTTTTTCTTCATCATGTTGAACAGGAATGGAGCTACCTAAGGGGTGGTCTAACTACTCTTGATCGCGATTATGGATGGATTAATAACATTCATCATGACATTGGAACTCATGTCATTCATCACCTTTTTCCTCAAATTCCACACTATCACTTAGTTGAAGCTGTAAGTGTCTCTACTATTGTTGAAACAGTGGATCTTTATTACATAGGATGTTGAGTTTTAATGTTGCTTTTGCTTCTATTGCAGACTGAAGCAGCTAAGCAAGTGTTTGGAAAATATTATAGAGAACCAAAAAAATCAGCTCCTCTTCCTTTTCACCTTATAGGGGAGTTAACTAGGAGCTTGCAAAAAGACCATTTCGTTAGTGACACTGGGGATGTTGTGTACTACCAAACAGACCCTAAGCTTAATGGTTCATCCAAATCAGACTAAAGATTACAAATTTTTTCTTGAAGACAAGAGAAATTTCCATACAATACTTATTGCTGTAAAGATTGTCTTGAGTTTCTCCTCAAGCTACTAAACTTACTATAGTTGAACCTTTCTTTAGTATATTGGTGGATCCTAATTAGAATTTATTTGTAACTGCACGATAGAATGTTTTCGTTATATGTAGTTTGTTATCCTTCTTGGAAAGTTAATTCTCTGTAAATTGATTATATTTCATGAAGAAGTAATAATACCTTGAATATTGATCAAATTAACGATGTATCTGATCAAATTCAAAGGCCTTGGTTAAATGATAATTTACCGTAGATTTTTCTTTTAGTAGTAACAAGTAACTCTTTTCTTCCCTTCATCTCCATGGCCCTTGCCCTATTTATTCTTCATTGTGTGTTTATTTCTTGAAAATAAGATATCACATGCTGAATAAGCTTGTTACGTATTTTATTATAGTTTTGGATCCAGTGTTCCTATCAAGAATAAGCCAAATAGTAGTTTGTTGTTTTAGTGGTGTTATTGTCAATAATTTTGGTATTGACGTGCTTGTAACTTTAACATTATTATTAGGTAATAAGCATGAAAATTGAGGATCGTATGCTGACAATGTTTTTGTTTGTAACCACTAATGCAAACAAAGGAAAGGTGTCGTTGAGATTTTCCATCTTACATGCGTCTCCATAGAGGATGTGGTGGTCCTGCAGGGCAAGACATAGACCACCTACTATTCATGGATCTGGATTCAGTTCTCATTAAATTTTTTTTACGTGTTTTTTGTATTTTCGCTTTAGTCTATATATTTTCGCGTCTAAATACACGATATAGTTCTTGCGAGAACTGCACTGAATCCGGGTCCATTATTCATATCACTCTTAGTCACAATTTTCAAAAATATTGTTGATTGAGAAGTGATATGAATAATTTAAAATTTTAATCTATTGATTTAAATTGAAAAAATATATTCTGAATGACATGAAACAATTTGATTTTCATTTTATGTTCAAAATTATTACACGTAAACTATTTTTAAATAAAAAATATTTTTTAACTCAGAAGTTAAATTTAAAATTCTTATAAAATATATTAAGCTTACAAAATTTTACACTATTAAAAAATTTATTTTATATTTTATCACTTCACCTTATCTGAATATGTGATATATAAAATATAAACAATAGCTACTATTTGATTAATGAACATATATGTAAAATTTTTTATAAACAATAATCAAAACTAATAATAAAAAATATTAAATTAAAAATTTTACTCATGATAAAAATAATTAAGAAAATACTTATCCTTGTCTTAAAATATTATACATACTCATTTTTATTTTCTTCTTCTACTACTTTTGAAAGAACTGTTCCTACCCCCAAAAAGGTTAGGTGTGAATAGAGACATGGATCATATTCATACAGAAAAATATTGCCTGACCAAGAGAAAAAAAAAAAGAAAAATAGTCAAATTATATATTAAACTCAAACTTGCACATCATGCTAAATAATTTAATACGCATGCAACCTTCGATTCAGTTTTTATAATCTCCCTTCTCTTCAATTAATACTTTGAAAATAGAACGAGTTAGACAACTAAAATACTTAGCCTTGACTCCATCTCTTTGACCTTCACAAACACCATTTTCTCATTATCTTATTCTCCCTTGTGAAGTCGACATACAAACTAATAAATAAATAAATAAATATATAATTAAATTTACATCACATGGAAATATATAAAAATATATTAACATACAAAATTATATGATGCATATTTGCAATAGAGGAAGTGAAAAGTTTATATATAAATATATCAATATCTAAATTATAATGATACAATTTATATCACATGTGAACGAGAATCATTTATGAAAGTTTATTAATGCAAATCATACAAATAAACATTTACATTACTTAAAAGCGACAACTTTATATAAAATTGGTAATATATATAATTTGAAAATCTTATCATTAATTAAAGTGTTGGTTGATTAGATAAAGATTAAAGATTGGGTTGACCTTTTTTTTTAAAGAAGGTACCCTCCTTGTTTGAGCCTTTCTTAAGGATAGATGATTTAGAAATTTTATGGCTGAAACTGTTAGCCTAAGTTTTGTTGCTCTATTTTGTATATAATTTTATTTAATTATATTTTTTTATTAACTATTAAATCTTTAGAATTAAATATTTAGTTTATGTGTATGCTGTATCCACACTGGTGAAATAAATGAAAAAGAGAGGCATCCAATAAGTTGAAAACAAGAGCCCTCTTACTTCTGTTTTTAAAATTGAAAGTGTCACTAAATATATTTTTAAAATATTTACATTATTCTTGTGTACTCATTCACACATGATTGTCTCTAATGAAATATACATATGGTCTAGAATTTTTTTTTATCAAATTAGTTCTTAGAGATTTACATTATTGTATTAACTTTAACAAAATGTGATAAAAACCTTGTGGCCAACAATCTTTAACAAAATTTGCTTCTGTTAACATTTGTAGACTTTTCTATACCCATATTAGGGTTTGGTGGAAATCTAATATCTCTATGATCAATGAAAGCATGAATAAGAAACTGTGGATGAAATCCAGTTATCAATGATCAAATAATCTTCAAAGCCATTCAGAATCCATTGCATGATTTTGCTATTTGTTGTCTCTCCCAAAGTACGCAGAGAAATTTCTGCTTTGATCCATATCAAACTTGAAGCATTTTTTGCTACCTGTTTTCTGGAAGGAGAATCGTAATTGATACATCAGCTATATTGTTTTTAGTCTAAAGTTCGATCATATCACGAAATATGTTCAAATTCAACTATATTATACTACAAAAGAAAAATAATAAAGAAACAAATATTATTAAGCGTTAGAATCACACTTCAATTATTATATAACCTTACTCAAATCAATACTAAACTGTTAATATAAATATTATAAATTTATACTAATAAAATTATCTATTAATATGACTCATTATATATATACCCCTCCCCCAGTTTTTAAAATTATATAGTAGTATTTTAAAAAAGTTACGATTTTAAAGTTTAATTACTTACTTTAATTTGTATGCAGTCGTCACAATTAAATTTAATTACCTAAATTAATGATATTCACCACCACAATCAGATCAACCTGGTTCTGCCCCTGCATACACAGTTCTAAAGGTATTTGGAAAACAAATTTAACCCAAGTTAGGGACACAAACATTGAAACGTTTTTTGCATTGCCATGAAACTCAAAATTTTCAGTAACTTATTTTTTTTGTCAACAAAATTTTCATTAACTTGTATGCAAATTTAACTACAATCATGTGGTTGCTCTTGCAAACACTGTGTTTGTCTTAGTAAAGTTAATAGATAGTACAAAGAACTTGAAAAACTTGACGAAAAAGGATTAGAAAACATGTGCATTACGTGCAGAGGCTTTAAAAAGTAAAATAAAATGTGCATTATGTGTAGGTACGAAAAATTGTTCTCAAGGAGGTGAATAAGGACCCACCCGTTTAGTTTGAACGCTATATTGTAATTTTCTAAGCAGCTCTATAGCCAATGCACATGATGAAAACGTTCCATGAAATTATTACACAATATAGATCCAATTTGAGTAATTTTAAACATTTTTCAGAAAATAAAATCTAAAAAAGAAAAATACAACTTCTTTCGTAAGTTTAAATAAGATTGAAAAGTGAAAACAATAATGTGGAGATGAAAATATTCATAGTTTTGGGGTCAGCACATGTTTATATCAATCAACTTCAGTTTCCGATTTCTAGGACCCATCTTAAGGTAAGCTTAGTCTTAGCAAAAATTCCATTGGTAGTAGGAGTACGGATGAATGACATTTTCTTCCTCTAAAGCATATTCACCCGTTGACTAGGCATGTGAATCAAGGTAATTGGTATATAGAGTAAAATCTAATGGTATTTTGGAGGACAAGGAGCATAGAATAATTATTTATTTTTGCCTATGCCATGCATTGGGCCAACACAACAATCTCCTTCAAAGTCCATTATGAGTCAACAAAGTCGGTTTAATTCTTGGGAAGAAAAGGAACCTATTGCCAAGAACCACGATATTCTCATCTTTGAACTCCAAAGTCAGCAACTTCGGCACCTCACTCTTAAAATGGCAAAACCAACATTTACACTTAATAAGCTAGTAGGACAAAGAAGCACCATTAATACATAAAATTTTTCCTTTCCCATGAGACATAGATGAGTGGAAGATGAATTAGAGTTAACAACTATTCTTCCCCAATTGTTCAATTATATAGAGTATATACTCTTGTGAAGAATAATATGTTCTCTAAAGTTATCCAAAAAGAAATCAGTATATGAAATTAAACAATAAAGAGCAAACTAATTTACATTTAATAATTTTAAAAATTAAAATAATATCTTTATAATTTTAAAGATCCAATTCATCTTTGCTCATTTTAATTAGATGTATAAAAAATTGTTAAAGATACATCTTTTTAAATATATGTGATTGATTAAATTTTAAATATATTAAAATACTTGTAACATGATTTGCTCTCTTCTTAAAATTATTTTCATTTTTCAAAAGTAAATCCTGTAGTATCCTTAAAAACTTTTAAGGTACCATATAGAAAAAAAATTCAATTAATAATATTTAAACACATATTTAAGTGATAATTTTATTTAATAATAAATTATCATATTTTTTTATTGTTTTATTTATCAATTAGTCTCTCAATAATTTTTATTAATTGAAAAATAAAATTTGAGTATAGTTCTCATCGTGCTTCATCTTCTTGCTTTTATGCTGTTGTGTTTTATCCCTCTTCACCTCATTTTTCTATGTACTTCATCTTCTTACTTTAGTCTCAATGTTGTTTCTGATCTCTTCACGTTATTTTACTCTACCACCAAGATCAGTCCAATCTCTCTGTCCCATCGTGTCACTCCCTTACTGCTCTTAATTCACTGTCTCATCTTTATCAGAAATCTCAAGCTCTTTTTATTTAAGACTATGGCCATATCTTTCCCGTTTCATAATAAATCAAAGTGGGAGTTGCAACGGCAACACCACACCCTAACAACATCGAAGGCTCTCATTAGTGACTATCTCAACAAGAGGAAGAATGACTAGGAAGAGAAAAATTCCTAAAAGAACAAGCAATAGAAAAAGTTCTCGAGTAGCGTTGAAATACCAGGCGGTAACGTCACCACACTTCAATGAGCAAAGAAGAGAAACTCCCAACAACGACAATAGGGGGATGAAAGCTGCAAATAATGACAAAGCAATAGAATTACTTAGCAAATAATATAAACAAGATAATTTTAAATAAATTATATATAATAATATATAATTTTTTTATAATTTATCGTATATTTCT